AGTCATAGCACAATGGCTAAGTTCCCTACCTCCCTACACGCCTCCCCCTGGAATGAACTCGCTTATCGTGGGTGCCCCCACTCTCCCTCTAAACTTCATTCCCACCTCTGGTAAAATAAAAACGTAAAAAATTAAGGTGCGGGAAAGACCTTTTTCTGCATAAGCATACCAGGTTTAAAGCCAGTGTGAAATAAATAAATGAATAAGTTAGTAAATAAATAGGGGTGTTTAAACGACACCCAACGCGCTAGATTAGATAAGAAAGCCAATTAGAAAGAAAAAAAATATGGGCAAAAATGGCGCATCGGTCTCCTAAGGGCTCAACGGGGACATATACCTCGCGGAGCGTTTAGTAATGAACCCGTGGGACTTAGCCGGATCATGTCCAGCAAGAAATGATAAGATATAATAAGATACGCCACCGCGCCCGCTTAGCAGGGCGGCGCAGGCCGTTTTGAAGCCGTGTCTAGTGTTCATCCACGTGATACAGTCAGCTGTGGGTGATGTTCAGCTCGAATGCGTAGCTTCGTTTGTGTGCAATATTCTATCGTTGCACGTATATTTGGGGTCTCGGCTAGACGCCCTCGCTTCGCAGCGATTTGTTGGACTCACTGTCGATTTCTTTCATTTTAGAGGAAGTTGCGTGCAGTGTGATATAGCCGCTTTCTGTGACGCGTACACGTTTATGGTAATCATGGCCCGGGGCCAGGGGAGAGGGGATTCAGCGCTCCTCCCCGACTTCATTTTTTTTATTTTGCTTGCGTATATGTACACTTTCACATACAAACTCATGCATGATGATGCACTAATATAGTTGAGCCCGCCTTCCCCCCCCCCCTCCCCGAAAAAATTTCTGGCCATACGCCCCTGATGATGTTGATAGTTTTCGGTAAATCTCATACGCAATGTACTGATTGATTGGTTAACTCATTTCTTGGTCCGGGGTGAAAAAGAAACGATTTCCCAAAGAGCTTCAGCGTTAAAAGAAATGAATGAAGTGACCACGAAAAGAGGAACTGCAACAGTTAGGCTCGCCATGTGACAGCCTGACTGATATTGTGTTTCCGCGTGGTTCCTCGATCTTCAGGAGACAGTTGTCGCGACTTGTATTGAAATTTTTGATTGCTACAGACCTCGCACGTGACTGGTGATAGGTGACAATCGTGTTTGGTGTATAGTGCAGCGAGATAGAGTACCCGCACAGTACTGCACATGGAATAGCACAAAGGCTGCCGTTCTATGCAGGCTTACGTCGCGCTATGCAGGATTTTTATTTTAAAAGCCTGCTCGTGATTAGTTAAAAAACAAAAAAGGACATTAACTACGAGTAGCAAAGAGGAAACCGGGCGGGGCAATTGCCTGCAAATTATGCAAGGCTAGAACGGCCGGCTGCCTACAACATCCTTAACCTTAACTCTACCAGCAGAATAGCACACCGGTACAGTTTTTACTGCAACAAAGGATGTCTTACAGTTAACGCAAAGAGAAAGCGGGGCAGTATAGTCGGCGCAAAAGGTAACTATACCATATAATTAGCCCAGAAAAAAACACTGCGGTTTTTATCATTACGTGTCTATGCAGTTTCTAAATAAAGAAGTACACTAATACTTACGTACTGATGTTGCGCCTCGAATATGCGTGATATTTGCTTTTTTTTTTTTTTTTATTGGCGCTAGTATGCCCTACGGCATCAGTTAAATAAAAAGGAAAAGTTTTGTTTCCTGTATGAAGGCCAGGAGTTGTCGATGCAGTGGACCGTGCGTCCAGCGCGTCAAGTCAGGTGGTCGGCCGGGGTGGTGGTGAAGGCCGCGTAGGTGGCGAGTGCGAGCCTGGTGAAGGCCCGGGCAGGTTCCCAATAGGTGATCAAGCGTTGCCTCTGTGGCTGGGGCAACGCAGAATGGGCACGTCGTTGGGGGAGGCTGTGCACCAGATGTCCATGTAGCCCGGATTGCAGGAGTCAAGGCGGCGCCCACACGAATCCTCCTGAGCGCAACCTCCTCTCGGCGAGTTAAGCCGCCGGGAAGGTCAGATCCACGCGGAGGAATGAGAGCACGCGTGGAGCGCCGGAGGGTTTCTTTGTGCACAAGCAAGCTGTCCTTCGGGGACAAACGAAGTAGAGGCAGCGGGTGTTGAACAGTCGCTGGATGGCAAGCGGCATCTGCTTCCACTTGAGCCGGTGCAGACCGGCGGGTTGATATTTGCTTTTCGATTGACAATGTTAAAAATTATGAACGCTGCAACTAGATCAAGATGGCTGGGCATTCAGCAAGGGCTTAGACTTTCGCCCGGTGGCTGAATCGTGTGACACACAGACAAGCAGAAAGACAGACAAATTACTGCGTTGTATTTCAAGAAACGCCGTCGTATTCAAGAGAACTGTGCCTAGTGATTTGCAGTAATTTTACACAGCTAGCGCCGAAATAAATCAAGCCGCTACGGTTGCAGCAACAGTTTTATTGCATATGTCCTTCACTCTAGTTGCAAGACGCAGCCCTGAAATATTGTTGCAGCAGGTATTCCATGCAGTCGGGGCCGAAAGTAAGTAAGTCAGTCAGTTCCGTGGTTCAGGTCTTGTAACGTTTTACGCCGTGCAGCTATTCCCTCGTGGTAACTTCTTACCTTTGAGAGGATTGTTTTAACTTGTGGCCTATAAGGCACAACTTTACTCATCAGGCTGGATTACGTGGGCATGGCTTAAACTATACAGCGAATTACATAGGAAAATAATTAACATAATTTTGTCAAACCACCTTCTCCATAGCGTATCCATTCGACTGCATGAAATGAAGCCCCTGATTTCACAAGGCGGGCAAGTGCACCGGAAACGAATTTCGAAACGCACGCCAGTTTTGAGACGAGGGCAAGTAGTCAAACGTGCGATAAAATTTAACCAGCTGTTTCATTTATTATCACCTTAATGATTTTTTTTTACATAGGACTAGAAAACAACATGAACAAGAACGGGTCTCTTTCTGACAGACTTGATGCCTCGTTGCTTATTTTGTATATGCATTTTACAGGGAACCTGTCATCTTAAAACCATTTTGTAAATGAATTACCTCCGAAGCTAAGCATCTACATTTCGTACATCGCAACGAAATGCGTGTTACTAATCAATAAGCAAAAAGTTAATTAGTGAAACTATTTAGTTAGTCTATATTCATTGGTCTTTCTGCAAGGTAATTCATCCATACAACAAGAGTAATCTGCCTTCAGAAGAATTACTAAGCCAACCATTTATTTTGTGGAAACTTTCTGTGGAATAAAGCTATTCCCTTATGTGACATCAGCAGTAGTCTCGGAACGTTTTCTGGTCAGCTTCTTGTCACTGTCTCTGGCGCTATCACTCACTCAAGTTGAACGTCACGTGACTCTACGTCAAACCGCTCAGTGCACCCCGAGGCAAGCGCGATATCGCTATCGTTAGCAGCGCACATTTCTGCCAATGCCCTCAGCGACCGTCACGAATTCCATCGGTATGTTGCTGACGCTTGAAATACCCGTTAAGATGAAGACATGCGCAAAAAAACTGGGCGTACAAACACGGGCACAAGAATATATCTCGACATCCCAAAAGCCCGATTAGATTACGAGCCGCGGCGTATAGTAGAAGGCCCCGCATAATTTTCACTATCTGTTGTTCGTCAGCGTCCACTGACATCCCACCATAGATGGGCCTCTATAGCGTTATCGCCTCCATTGAAATACAACCGGAATCGAACCCCCGACTTTTGGATCAAGCGCCGCAACCACTTTACAACCAAGGAGCAATGAAGACCTTATTGGCGTAAATCATGGGGGGTGAGGGGGGTCAGAAGCCCCTTTGTGTTCAGTCTAAGGGTGGGGGGGGTGGGGGACACTTCTGGAAAGAGTCCCTTCTTGAGATTATTCACACCATCATATATTTGAGTTACTTAACAGTTAGGTATAGCGCATTAAAGATTACTTTAAAGGCCAATTCTTTTTTTTTTTTTTAGAATGTACCTGTGTTCAACAATACCCCTCATCTATGTGAGGCCATGGACATCGCAAAAGCCATTCGACCGGTTCTAGGTAGACTGGGCAGAGCAACGCAATTTCTCGAGCTTGGAGCCCCGTGCTCCTTTCTTTTTATTTTTTTTTCAAAGCACGTTTCAATTCTTACGTATATAAATTACAACCCATATTTTGAAAAAAAAAATGACTATTATGGTCTGATTGGTGCCCCCCCTCCCCCTGTGATTTTTTTTTCTTTACGCCACCGGTATATAGACAGTGCAAGCATATCGCACCCGCCAGTACGGCCAGAGCCAGGATGCTGTCAGGTTCTGCGTCGCTTATACTGGACAGGTAATGGACGTAATAACAGTGCAATTAACAGACAAGGTGTGGCGAAGATAATTGTTATAGTCACAGACGCGGCTGATAATAGCAGCCTTTTCAACGTATGCCCACGTTCCACACATATGATATGCAAGTATACTTCGCTACTTGACGTTGTTGAAAGTCGGCGCTTCGTGCGATATATTTGTCACTTCTCGTGTTCGTTGCGCTCTTCTTTCGTTCTGTTGTACCCCCCAACGTGTCGATGTTTCCACGCTTGACTGCCCAGAGAGTCTCCGGATCAAAGATGTGCGCCTGTCTCTACGTGTCTAAAACGCAAGCAACGAGACGACACATTTCGGATACCGATACGGTTATACCGTAAACGAAAATTTCCGTGCGATAAACGAACGTTGATTTTACCACTGTTAGCGTTAATTTCTTCTTACGAGCGTTTTGCCCACAGTGCACGGTCTCTCTTCTGCGTTAAGTCATCCATTTTTTGTCTTTTACGTTTCGTTCCATCACTCATCGGACGCGCTTCGCCGGTGCCGTCCTTGTCTCCCATTTTAGTGAAGTTTGCAGCACTGCCTTCGACATCCATTACGTTCCAACTATAGCCCCCCACCCCCTTCCACACACACACACACACAAAAAGCAAGACCTACACTGATGCAAATGCGTAGCGTAACACTCACCTGCCCGGTGCCGTCGTATCCGACCACGTCGAAAGCGTTCCCGGACAGTCCTCCCAAGCGTCCGTCCGGTCGACCGAGCGACCGGCCGTGCCCGCCAACAACGCCGACAACTGGAGCGCAGTTTGACCTTTAAGCGCCGGTAGCGTTGTCCCGCACACCACAACGGCGCGGAGCAGGAGGCTGACTTTCTTTTTTCGATCCTCTTCTCACCGGGCAGCAGCAGCAGACGACGTTAAGCAGACGACGACGTTGCGCTCCGGTCCTGTCGTGGACGCCACCGCTCCTTCCCACGTCGACTCCATCCTCGTACTGTGCGTCTAACCTAAAACGCGTAGTTGAAGATGCACCAGCAACATGGACGAAACTGCCTGGTCGTACTCATCTACGGAGGCGCGAGAGCTGCTGCACTCGGTGACGGGCCCGACCGAGCGAATGAGTGTGCGGCGCGCGCAGCGCAGCCAGCCGACGCACCAACCACTGGGCGGAGTAGGACCCCGAAAATGCCACGGGGTTGAAGACAACGGGGCGAAAGCGACGGTTTCGCGCGCTCGCCAATTCGAAGGGAGGGGAAAGAGATGACGAGAGAGAGGGAGACAGGTGGAAAAGGGGTGCGAGGCGGTGTTCGGACCCGGAGTTTTATTTTTTTGGCGGAGCCGAGGAGACTGAAGCTAAAAACAACCACTGGGAGAGGATGCAACACGGTGGACGAGTGGGAGAGATTAGAAAGAGAGAATGCGGGAAAAAGATGGAGCCAGTGAGAGAAGGCGAGAGCAGTGACGTCAATGGGACGACGGAGGTCGTGACGCAGCGAGCGTGACGTAGCAGGCGTGACGTCGGTGACGCGTCACGTAGGAGCGTGCCGAGCTGTCGATGGTCCTTTCGCCGTCGTTGTTCGCGGTTTTTCCCGATTGGGGAAAAAAAAGGTTGACAGGACGGGAGAGGAGGGGATGACGCTATGGACGCTGCTGTGAGGGCGGGAGATCGGTAGAGGAGAGACAGAGTTTCAACGCTGGGACTGTGCGGAAGACGGGAGCGAATTCACTTCAGACATGATGCTGTCCTCGAGATGGTGTGCGCGTGTTCGAAATTGCTTCTCCTTTTTCTTTTTAACTTGAAGTATCAACCTTTAATCTGAGACGGAGCTGCGCACGTGATCTGTTGCAAGTGAATTGGTTTGATTGTTTCTGGCGGATATTACGATAGCCTCCATCGCGCAGGTTAGGACAAGAGAAGCGCCATGCACGGTTCAGCTATTTTCGGAAAGGTGGCAAATGACCGCCCACGAAAGATGAGCTTGCGCCAGTCGATTTATATAAGCGTCATCCCGCTTTTCAAAAAAAAAAATATCAAGAGTATTTTCCAGCGATATTCGTGACGCTTCGAAATTGGTTCAGGCATGGAAAACAAATGCTGCGACATGAAGCCATTTCATTTGTCATTGACGTCATCGCACGATATCTCGTCCGAGCGGCAAAAAGAATCACCCGTGGGACAAAAACGAAGTCGGCCCACACAGCACGTGTCGCCTCCATTAAGCGCCTCACCAAACGAGATGTCTGACCGTCGGCGTACTCCAGCGTCGGGTACGAGTGATGCAGGAAGCCATCAAATGCATGGCGACGCCCCCGTATGACGTCATAGATCGCCACAGCTTGTGGCATCATTTCCCACGACGACGTCATCACACGTCACCGTAACTTGGTGGAAAGTAGTCCGATCGCGGGGGCAATGCAAGAGCAGGTGAGATGCCTCCAGTCTAGGAGGCTGTGCTGAACAACGTAAAGATGCAGGGAGATTTCGAAGGGTAGTGTCCTCGTAAAGAGATACAGCTACGGGCGGCACTATTCTCTCTTTTTTTTTTCTTTTACATAACCACTTAGAGAGATAGGAAGAACAATGGCGGGGAGGATATATCAGTACAACAGTTGAGATAGAAAAAGAAAAAAAATACGATGAATTTCGTCTTGAAGTACAGTCTTAAAGGAATGCGTAGAAGACCTTGTCAGTTGTTGTTGTTTTCTTTTTTTCCCCTTGAGGCTATAGGACTACCTTTCACGGACCACCACCTAGCCCCATCATGCAGCTTGCTAAAGAACGGCTGGCTACAGGGTAGCCAGCCGGTCTGAGAACTGGCTAACCTCCCTGTCCTTCCTCTTTGATTCCTCCTTGCTAAAGTTGTTGCATATTCGCAGGAAATCACATGGCACCAAAATGAGCACATGAATTGCGAAGTTGATATCAATGGGGCAAAGAGTCAGATGCTCAGGTGTTATGGTAGCTTAAGATGCCACTCTACCTTGCCGCTCGTGACTTAGAGTGGATTTCACGAAACGATTCCCCCTTTTGCATCGGAATTTTCGACAGCCTTCTCAGGTGGTACAACTGTGGTAGCGAGGAGACATTGCAACGGATCGTCTGAGGACCAGCGTCCCTACAACGCGACAAAACAGTCACTCGCTGACGCTCTATAGCTGGCCTTGACAACAGAGCAGTAATAATTTCGTAATGTCATCCTGAGCAGTTAATATGGAAGGAGGTGACGAAAAGATGCACTGCTCAAACTCTTGAAGCCCACGTACTTTGCATCGGCGGTTATGGACCGAGGGCGATATTGCAACTGTCAGGAGTGTGAATATGCCTGTGTCCTGAGTGCTTCCCACTTTCCTTGTTTCTCTCTACATTTACCTTTCTAAGTTTCGTATTCCGTTTACCTATGGTAGTGTAGTGTACCACTTATCCTACATTGGATAAAGAAGCAATCACAAGAATTTGAAATGTTTTGCGGTTATTGCTTGAAACAAAACGCAGGTGTCGAGAACCACATAAACAGAAGTCTCCCACAGTACTAGGGAATGCATTTACTATAATTTTAAGACCACTACCTTAAAACGGCAACCTTGGTATCGCTATCAAAGGGGGCAGCTTCGCAGTGACTTGTCAATACAAGTCTGACGTCACGGGACGACTGTCAACACAAGTATGACGTCACGGGAAGCATTAACCAACTGCCAACGCGCCTGAGCGAGTCACGGCAACAGTTTAACTTGCGATATAATAGCAACAGCTGTCAATTTGGGGCCACTCACACGACGTAAATAGCGACGGGTAGATTGTCGTCCAGATATTATGACAGCATTTTCTTTTTTGTCTTTGCGATCTAGGCTTCACGCAAGACGCAGATTTCAATGGCGTAACCGGTGGGTGACACACCTGGCCCCCGCACCCCCCCCCCTGATGTTTTTTTTTTTTAACTTGCCATACAGAGTGAAGAATTACTATTTCAAGGAGGTGCTTTCCCTCCAAATCAAGGAGATGCCGTGACACGCGAAAAAAACTTTTTCCTACACCCCTTGTAAAAATTCGGGATCCTAGTGAACTGCGTTGATTCGTCTTGATAATATCAATCGCGGTTACAATCGCTCGCAGATGCTGAGTGAAAAAAAAAACTTTAAAATCAAAGTGACATGTAATATTTCATTGAGTTGTCTGGCACCGGTGTGTAGAATGCGTTGATAGTGCATGCCACGGAAACGAAAAATTGCCCCCCCCCCCCTCCAGAAGAGATGTGCATCGTGTCAAGTAAAATAGAGTGTCAGCGCTCCTTCAGCACGCCTACATTTGCTCTTTTTAGGGGCGAAGCTCCTTAGGGCGTGGGCTGTGCGTCCCCTGTAGCCTGTATGTAGCCACCTCTAGTTTAGTTCTTGCAGTGTTCACTAGATGGCGGTACCGTCCCCTGTATGTAGCCACCTCTAGTTTAGTTCTTGCAGTGTTCACTAGATGGCGGTACCGTCTCCTGTATGTAGCCACCTCTCGTTTAGTTCTTGTAGTGTTTACTAGATGGTGGTACTTGTAGCTGATGATGAAAAGATGCAAGATGTTATAAACTAGAAAGCGGTACTTGTAGTTGATGAAAGACGCGAGATCTTATAAAATAGGAATGATGTCACATATGGCGCGTGTCATTGGTTGAAGGCAATCGTTCGATTTAGTGCGGCGACGTACGCTAGGGGGAGCGATGTAATAAAATCGAGTGGGCAAAATGCACAGAGGATTCATGGTTTACCAGGTTTACCTCCGGAGCTTCGCCCACTCATAATCATTCACTTCGTGGATATGGCGGAATTTTTTTATTTTTATTTAAATGCGGAGCATTGTGTAGTCGCAAACCCGGCGTTGGCAGCGCGGCCGACACTCCCAATTTTAATACTCCTACGTCCTACCACTAAAGATCGCCCCGCCGCGGTGGTCTAGTGGCTAAGGTACTCGACTGCTGACCCGCAGGTCGCGGGTTCGTATCGCGGCTGCATTTCCGATGGAGGCGGAAATGTTTGTAGGCCCGTGTGCTCAGATTTGGGTGCACGTTAAAGAACCCCAGGTGGTCGAAATTTCCGGAGCCCTCCACTACGGCGTCTCTCATAATCATATGGTGGTTATGGGACGTTAAAGCCCCACATAGTGAGTACCACTAAGGATTGTTTCTGCGCTTCACTTTGAATCAAAAGGAACGACTTTAGCACGCGAAAACAATATATACTCTGTAAGTTAGCTGAGTCATTAAAAATATGACAGATATTTCCGTTATAATATGTGGTATCGCTATTCTCGAACTGTCTGACTCGTATATAATCGAGCAAATCACTGTTCGCTTCGAACCTAAACTTCACTGTTTGCGCTGTTTTAGAAATTGGGCACCGTCATCATACCAAGAAATGGGCGCGGGCCGAGAACGCAGCGCGTATAGGCAGGATGACTGGATGGATTCTAAGAGAACGCAAACGCGCGAGATGGAGATAGAAAACTAGGTTTGCAGATGGGATTAAGGAGTTTGCAGGCTTAACGTGGCAGCAGCAAGCACAAAACCCGGTTTATTCGAGGAACACGGAAGGAGCCTTAATTTTCATTGCAGTGGACGCAGTCAGGCTGCTTGTGATGATGATCGTACCTATATGAACTCTAATCTATCACGACGTACAACGACGTATCGTAGTTGCACGTAGTACTTGGTGATAGGTCAATATGAGTGGGATAGCGGATCAAGTGGGTAAGTTGGCACAGGCTCATAACAATGCTCATGAAATCAAACAGAATGAATATAAAGGAAAAAAGATTCCGCCATATCCACGAAGTGAATGATGATGAGTGGGCGAAGCTCCGGAGGTAAACCTGGTAAACCATGAATCCTCTGTACATTTTGCCCACTCGATTTTATTACATCGCTCCCCCTAGCGTACGTCGCCGCACTAAATCCAACGATTGCCTTCAACCAATGACACGCGCCATATGTGACATCATTCCTATTTTATAAGATCTCGCGTCTTTCATCAACTACAAGTACCGCTTTCTAGTTTATAACATCTTGCATCTTTTCATCATCAGCTACAAGTACCACCATCTAGTAAACACTACAAGAACTAAACGAGAGGTGGCTACATACAGGAGACGGTACCGCCATCTAGTGAACACTGCAAGAACTAAACTAGAGGTGGCTACATACAGGCTACAGGGGACGCACAGCCCACGCCCTAAGGAGCTTCGCCCCTAAAAGCGCCAACTTCACATCGTGCGGGCCAAAGACAAACGCGTTAGTGGGGCGTCGGCGGCCTTTGCAACCAAAGTATTCGCCAACAGCTTGGCTCATAGCTTCCTACAAAGTTTAGAAGACGGAAGTCTGGCTCTAGTAACCGAGACAGTTACCGGGACAAAAAAAGTCAGCGAGGACGTACGTTACGAATATACGATTGGCAAGTACAGTAACGGATACAATTGTTGCGGTCGTGTCTTGCATCTGTATCTGCAATGCTTCCTGCCCGAGCATTATACAAACTCAAAAGTATCTTTGCTTAGCCCTTACTACTACTACTACTACTATGGCGATGCTACGACTAGAGTGAAAGCTTGTTAATTCCGACGTGCTTCCTTGTCTCGCCTAGTATTTACATGGTTCGATGGCATGAAATTCGTTAATTCGGTAGCCGTGAATATTTAAACAGCGCGCCTTACCAAGAAGTGCATGACGTCACCTTTACGCAACGCAGCAGTCTTTGGTTTGTTTTTTTTTTTTCACAATGAAGAACACAAAGCATAAATGTAATATTGTAGAAAAAAAATTATGCTACAAACCCTTGTTTCAAAGGCATGTTACCCAAAGAGGCAAAGATTCATGGGGGATTGGTTATTTGAGCAAGGATTAAAAACGCAGCGTTGTAGTGTAGCAGCAGTAAAATTAATATTCAACTACGAGTGACACCACAGTCAAATTTAACTAAACTCACGCAGTCTCGAAGGCTACGCTTTTCCCAATCCCACGAAGCCGAAACCAAAGTCGAAACACGTCGTTTGCAATCAATTCGATCCGTAGCTAATCCGAACTACAGCCGTCCTCCGTTTCATTCGCGCCAAAAAGCGCCCAGGCAGCTACAGCTCTTGTCAGAAACCGCGCACTGTTGAAAACATCACGGACAAGCTTCGATTCACGTAGTCCTCGCAAAGATGGGACTTCTCAGCGACTGCGAAGAGCTGTTCGGCACCTCCGACCTCTACAAGCTCTTCGGCGTGCCTCGAGACGCCTCCGAAAGCGACGTCAAGAAGGCGTACAGGCGCCTTTCGCTTCTAGTCCACCCCGACCGCGCCGACGAAGCTCGGAAGGAGGCGGCGACGCGGAAGTTTCAGGTCCTCTCCAAGGCTCACCTGGTACTGGCCGACGCCGACAGGCGGGCCGCCTATGACGACACCGGTTGCGTCGACGAGGACGACGACCTGGACAGCGACCGCGACTGGACGTCATACTGGCGCCTCCTGTTCCCCAAGATCACACTAGCCGACGTCGAAAAGTAAGCACCCCCCTCCCCCTCCCATACGTGTTCCGCTCAAGACTGCAGTTTCTCTGGACGGCCTGAAGGCGATATTGCTAACCAACGAGACACCAGCCGTTGTATGTCGGAGGCTGAGCTAGGTGTTGCGGCGCTAGTCTCTTGGGAGCGGGTTCGAATCATGGCTACGGCGGCCACATTTCGATGTTGGCGCAGTTGAAAGAAGCGCTTCGCGTACTTCGATTTAGATACAAATTAAAGAACGCTAGGGTCATTGTCAATCCGAAATTTCATTGTTCGGGGCGTGCCTTTAATCAAATTGTTTTTGTTTTTCTTCCTCGTAAACATAGTCAAACATGAACTATCATAAACTATCGTCAAGCATAAACCATGTTTGACGATGGTGTCGTTTGGGTTGGTCATTGTGTCTCCTTAGTTTAAAAGTAATATGTGTTAGGCAGAAAAAAAAAAAAACTGTCTCTATCATGTGACTGTGAAGGATGGCGGCCTAATATACGTGTAAGCTTGGTAAGCAAGTTCTTCACAACCGTTCCCCGCTACCGGCCGAGCCACCTTACCTTGGCTGTCAGCCTTATGTGACATCTACTTGAATTTTTTTTTTCAAGGGTGGACATAGATTAGCTGTATGACTGAAATTGGTCACTCGGTTGTGGTGATGGTTTGCCAGCAGTCTAACGTCGCCCCCTACCCAAGAAGGCAGTTTTAGGGTGACTGCAGGGACCGCTGTCGTTGTGTATGCTGTTCTAAAACTGCCCATTAGCTGGAGATCACACATCCTGCAGCAAGGCAAAATTGTCAGCGGCAGTACCAAGCCAGAGAGCGACAGTCACCAAGACGTACAATTGCCATGCAGAACATAGTGCCCCTGTGTCATTGCTTTGTTGGCACTCATCTCTCTGTGTGTTGTAAGCTTCATGATTTCTGAGAAGTTGTGTCGAGCCGCTACTGCAAGGGCTTGCCTTATGCACAGCTCTTTCCTAATTGATGTCTTTTACCTCGGTGCCACCATGGTTTGTTAACCGTGCGACTTCGCAAGCTTCACGTTTGTCAGCGCCTGTGAATGTGCGTCAGTGAAAATTGTTATACTTGACTTCGTACAGCACTCATTGGAGCTTTGAATTCACTCCATCAATTTCCTCACTGTGGTTCGCCATGCCAGTTGCATGTCATGGCAGCTTCCTTTCTTTCACCAGTTTTGTTTACACGAGTTAATCATATTTCACGTTCGTTTGTCGACAGGTACCTCGCCAAGTACCGCGGCTCCGACGAAGAGCTGGCCGACCTGAAGGCCTGCTACGAGCGCTTCAAGGGCGACTTCGACGCCATCAGTGAGCACCTCATCGGCTACGAGATCGAGGAGGAGGACCGCTATCGCAACATCCTCAACAAGCTCATCGAGGACGGCGAGGTGAAGGCGTACCCCAAGTTCACGAAGGAGAGCAAGAAGTCCCGCAATGCGCGCAAAAACAGGTACCTCAACGAAGCTGAGGAAGCCCAAAGCATGAAGATGGAGCTCGGCCTAGATGGCAGCGACGAGTCGCTGGCAAACGCCATTGCCAAGCGGCAGCGCTCGAGGGAGGCCGACTTTGGAAATCTTATCGCAAACCTCGAAGCCAAGTACTGCAAGCCCAAGAAGAAGAAGGTGACCAAGTGATGAGCTTTTTATCTTTCATCATTCCCCGTGTGGTGTTCAGACTTATGACAGGAGCGCAAATTTCGCGCTCGGCCAGACTTCCAAACCCTGCTGGTGTTTCGGGCTTGTGGACCTAGGTTGGTCTGTTGCACTCAGGCAAAGTAGCCATTGCTTTAAACGACTTGTATATAATGAGTGGTAAAGTTGTTGAAGACGATATATACTGTATATAAATGTGTGCATACCTCTGCTTACTGTTGACTTGTTTTTTTTTTGTGTGTGTGTGTGTTGGGCATGCTCATTTCATAGGTTAGTTGAAGTTTAGTTTTGTAGCTATTAACAATATTTCTCGAAGTGCTGTATGCAAGGTAGTTAATGCCGTGATAGTGAATTGAAAGAGAAAGTATTGACACAAAGAGTACGTACAAACTGAAACACTCTCGAATGCTATGATTTTCCTTATGCCTCTTGCTGCCATTAGTCAAAAGGCATAGCCCAGACATTCTTTGCCAATGGCAGATGGCTAATGGCAGTGGAAGACGTAAAAGAAATAGCATTGCTCCATGATAGTGCCCTTGAATCGATGAGAGGTGGCTTCAGTGACATTAGCTGTCCGACGCTTGGTCACTCTGATATAAAATACGTTGTGCAGTACTAAGAGTAGCTGGCTGGCAAGTTTATCCACTTTACAAATGGGTGGTCCCTTCAGTCGAGCTGCCTTAGTAGGCTCAACACTTGGTAAAGAATTTGGTTGAGCTACTCCGTCAACTCCGAGCATAACTGGCGCTGCCTCCCGTTGCCGTGTTGTGGGATGTCATGTGGCTGCAAATTCCGGCCGTTTGCCAACAGACACTTCGCCAAATAGCAGGGTTTCTAGCAAGGAAGCGGTAGATCTGAAAGCTAGCTACGAATTGCTTCGAGTGTGACAATGCCATCAGCAAACATGTCATCAGCTTCAAATGCACCCTTTTGAGCTCAGCCTAACAGGTTGTCCATTTGACTAAACAGGTGCAGTCTTCGAAGTCTTGGCCCTCGGCTGGACAAGAGTTGTTGACGTGCAGCAATATTGTGACAGTGCAGTGGGCGCAATATACTGTTGCGCCTTCTGCACAGTAGGTATAGAAAGGAGGATAGGTACTCTCTCGCAACGCCACCAGCCCAAGCTTATTTCTCACAGGGGCTAATCTTAATATGTGCGGTCACTAATAAATGGGGTAGACTCGCCATGGCATCAACCATAGAGGTTCCTATTTATTCACTACAGGGGACTCTGGCACTGGTGTTTATGGAAGCTGCAACAAATGACGCTCGAGCCGGCGTGAGAATGAAGGGTAGTACATAGATTTGTGTAATCTTCGCTTTTTCGGCTCCTGTTGGCTTCTTGATTCCTGAATTCCCTTTGCCGCAAGGCGCAGTTATGTGTCAACACTTTTTAAGCTCACAAATTCTAATCAGCTAGCAAAATTTACAATGGTCTGTGCTTTTAATCGATACAAAATAAACTCAACAATGAAGCCACAAGTGCATTCAAAGCCCGCAAGCATGAAAATTGGTCAAATCCACATATCATTCCTATGGTGGCCGACTTCCCTCCTGTTAATTAGGAAACCACCAAGACTAGGTAAACAGCCAGGATAATGGTTGTAGCTTAACCACTGCAGTGTTCCCACATTTAAAGCACAGTTTCACGGTTCTGCAAAGCTGGCACTTAATATTCAACCAGAGGTACAAAGAGAATCATTTCAAGCAATATTGCCATAGCAGACACACGCAAGGGGGTCTCCCCTTCGGTTGTCTTCGCAGTAGATTCCCTGTTGGAAGGAAGCTTGTTAACATGACCACTGGCATCAGTGTTTGCTTTCTATGCACACCCAATTTTTAACGCGATAGCTTAAGAGTAGGGGCGTGCGAATATTCGGAATTCCAGATATTTTTCCAATATTCGCACCAGAACTTTACAAGTTAAATTATTTGAACTTCCCGAAGACAAATACAGTCAACGTCAGATTGGCCCCTTTCGATTTTCACCCCATCATACCCCTGTATTGCGGCAGAGCCGCCTTTCAAGCTCTGCCACAGTAGCAAATGTATTGACTCGAAAAAAAAGCTCTGGCTCTAACATTGAGATTTAGACGTGGCGAAGGTGGAAGTTCAATTTATGCTGTCTTGGACCTGGAATTGCAGCAGGAATTCCGAAAGAGGGGACGCCGAATATTTTTAGCATCCGAAATTTCAGATGTTCTTGTATTCCCGAGGCAGATTTGGAACTCCGGACTTGCAGGGAGCACACCCTTGTCTGCAACATCAGTTGGGCTTTAACAGAAGTTGAAAAGAGAAGCAGAGGCTGAGGAAACGACATCTTTGCCTTTCACATGTGATGTGTTCACGGCAACACTTTGGTTACATGAAGTCGCGCACACAAATACAATTCGGCCTCCGCGTTGCCTCATGCTCTGTAAGACAACTATGAAACGCCACTCCACTACCGCTTCACGAACATCGATTTTTTCTGCACAAAATAGCAAGCACAAATGCCTCTGAGCTTGCGAGTGTGTCTCGATTGTTTTCATTAGTCGGCAATCATGCCACACGGAAACAAGGTGTGCAAGTAAAAAAATGAGTCACATATGCAGACTCGCCACCACAGCAATAGTAGTACACTCAAACCTTATTATAACAAAGTTGCATCTTACACGAAATAAGTTTGTTATATCCAAAAATTCGTTTTAAAGGTTTACTTGGTTATAACCGATATTTTGTTATATCCGGTTTCGTTATATCGAGGTGTGAGTGTAATAAATATTGTGGTATTACGTCTAAAGTCACTACATTATTATAAGGGACGCCCAGTGCAGGGCTTCATGACGTTTTGACCGTCTGATCTCCTCTGATGTAGTAGTGCTAATAGACTTATTTCAGCCACAATCTAAAGGCCAAGCATTTTGACCACCTGCGCAACAAGTTGACGATGCTCTTCCCCTTCGGTGCCGATCCAGTCAAGCCAGGTGGTGATGGAAAGGGATGGGAGAGAGTAAGAGCTGGATTGATATGTGCACCAAAATTGAACTATACATTCACAAGCCTCAACCGTTTCACCTCCATTGAAATGCAGCCACAAAGGTCAGGGTTCAATAGTTCTACCTTTGGGCCAGCGGTCGAGCACCATCACGACTACACTTCTGTGGCGAGTCTCCACCGCGACTACTGCACAACCTTGTAATTGGTGTTTCGCTTGCAGACTTGAGTGCAGGCAATCACAAGTAACCAAGCAAGGTGGGCACGTTGCCAACAGACATTTTGGACATGAAAAAAACTGGGGCGCGATTCTCGTGGTGTCCCATTCACTAAAGCGCATTAACACAAAAATATGCCGAGTCATGACGTCATGGCGCTCTTGACCACTTCGACGCACCAAAGTCGCCAGCACAATCCCAGCATGAAAAGAAACTGAGTGGAGGAAATGTTCAGCAACAGGACTCTTGCAACTAACTTGACAAGTCTGGACGTGCATGTGAACTTGTTGAGATGTTTGAAGAGCGGCGCAGGGAACGCGTAACAACCTTTCAGGAATGTCAGGCAGGCTGCCACCTTGAAACTTTGATGCACAGCCTCAGAGATGTGCATGCAAAAGCAAATCTCTAGGGGCAGCATTCGTTGTGGCAAGACTGATTCCATCTTTCTCATTTGTGTCGAGAATTCTGAAAGAAGCGTGGCGTCAAAACGACGTTGCCGGAGAAAGACTGAAAACCGGCGGCGCGTTGCTCGCCATCTCAAGCCAATCCGTTGCGGCCAAATCGGACATGTCCACGAAGTGTACAGCGCGAGAATAGCTTCTTTGCTACGTAGATTCATATAAGTAGTGCTCAATGTGAGTAGCTACACGCTGGCTCAAGTTGACCCCAAGCCTGAACAATAAACCAGCAATCATTAAATTGGTTCAAGAAGTACCGCTAAGTGAGAGAGTATAATTAATAAATTTTTGTCCATATAGGTGCCGATTTGCAGTGTTGGCGTCTATTTGAGCCTAGGCAGCAACATGTGAGTCGTATTGAGCGCGACTGTGCGTAGAATCTTGGGTGAAACGGCAGCTGAAGTCTTCAAGCATCCACATTCTCGTGGTGACCTTTCTAATATATATGGCTTGCTGCACTACATCCATACAAAAAAATGGAGTACTTGTGGCAGCTTTCCCCTGTGCAATGGCCATCGTCTAGCTTGTTCACATTTTATTTTTAGAAAACTCTGCACTTGCTACTTTCTTATCAAGAACGACCAGGCCCCCTACCCCTGGTGCACGTGCCGTTTGCGAGTGAGAAGTACCAGCCGTGCGACGATAACACGTGGAAGGTGCGCACGATGTAGGTTGAGATTGTGTCATGGCAGATAACGCAGCCACTCCATGGCTGTACTCTGCAAGCCACTAGGCCTTACCAGCACCGCTTCACTGAGAGTCTGCAACCGAAGTTGCAGCTACATGCCAGACCATATGACAGCACATCTTTTCATGATTTCTATGTTTGTGGGATTGCACGTGCAGTTCACGCCCAAAACTCCATGCAGTAGGCTAAAACTTCCTTACAATGAAGTTGCACGTTCCACGAAAAGGAGTTAGTTTATCCAAAAATTTGTTACAAAGTTATGTACCTAGCTATTGCAGGCCTACTTTTCATTTACTTTGTTATAACCATTAGTTCATTATATCGGTCTTTGTTATAGTGAGGTCTAGGTGAATACAAAATTTCTGTCGCTGCATATCTTATTATAAATACCAGGGTGAGTGGCGGTAGGAATTGTGTGGGTTTTAACTATAAAGCATCTGGTAAACGAGATTTCGAATGTATGCAATATTTTTGCTGCCAAAATGTACATTCCTAAGCACATGCTAGCTAAGCTTGCTTCCCTGTTTTCCCTTCATTTCTCCCATGCTTGTGCTGCATTAAAATACATTTTCGGGGCACCAAATTTACAAAATGCAAACACGGCAGCCACGCAAAATTATGATATTCGTTGCCTGTGCTAGTTTGGATTGCATCATGCAGTACAATCTTCATTTAAAACAACAACAATCTTACAAATCATTCATATATCTGCTTATATATAAGCAGGGGATGACATCATGCAAAAGAAGTTGTGGAGTCTTTAAATAAACATCAGGGGATGCTGCGAATGTGACGCATCGACCACAATGTAGCAACTATCTAGACCACAAGGCCGATTCCGCATTGGAGTAGCTGGTGCTTAAAGGGACACTAAAGCCAACTATTAAGGCGACGTTGATTGTTGAAATGGTGGTCCAGAAACCTTGCTGTGTTACTTTCGTGCCAAGGAAGGGCCAATTCTGAAATAAAGTTATGTTTTAGTGCTCCGCATCGGGTTAGCGCGCTTAAAATTACCCGCCTCAAGAATCAGACAGAACGGGCTGTCTCACGTCACTGTTGTCGTGCACAATGTTGCCTGGCTTTACTGCACCAGTAGCAGCGGGAGCCCCAGTAGCACCACCGCCATTGATCAATTTCCTGCCGTTGGCTTCGAGATTGCAGACGCTTTTGTTTCAACTGCACCCCGCTAGATGGCACTACCTGTCCCGTGTAACTACGCGGAAATTAAATTTTTGAACCACTCGTGCCATTTTTCATAGTAACAAACGGTGGTTCATTTCTTTATGAATCTAACAGAAACGAACAAGCAGCATTTTATTGCATTTCTTGAAGTGTGGAAGGTTCTTTATTTAGTGCAGTTAGATCAATTACTAGTAATTAATTGCAGGGGGTCCGTCGTATGTCATCGGGATCATTTTGAAAATGTACTGCGGCGATTGTGTTTTTGTGCATTTACCTTAATTCCTCAGTAAGTAGGGCACTGTCGTTGATAATATTGTCGTTTTAGATGTTGTCATACATTGAGCTTTCACGCTGACGTCAATTGTTATTTGACTTCAGTGTCCCTTTAAACATGCTATAGTTATTGCACAAAACTTAAGACTGGACTGGAGCAGCAAGGCATGCCAGGAACACACAGAGAGCGTTTGGTATTAGGTGCACATGTTTTTGCTGATGCTCAAATTGGTTAGTCTCGTAGTTTTGAGCAATAACTATAGCCGAACCCGAGACTATTCGACTTGTTGCCACGAGCCGAGTCCACGAGATGGCACACTCCACTTTGTGGTCGCATCTCCTCCTCAAACACTGATAGTCCGGAACACGTTGAAACCATTCTGCGCGGTGCTCAGGATGAGGCCGGGCATCTGCGGATGCCAGTGCGCTTCCTTGATGTCCTTCTGGCCCTGGTGGATGAAGAGCAACTGTGGAGGCAGCCCCTGCAGTGCCTCGTCCTCGTTCTCCTCGTCGCCGGCAGCACCTTCTGCGTCGCGGTCCCGCTCGACCGCCAGATCCCACAGGGTGAGCTGGTCATCGCTGCCGCTGGCACAGAAGACGGTGCTGTCCGTTGGATGCCATTCCACGGAGGTGATCGGAGCCAGGTGGTGCTTGAAGGTGGCGACGGGGCGCCCACCCTGTAACAAGCCCAAACGGAACGTCACTGGCAGTTAAAGGACCCCTGAGAGCAAAAGTTCAGTTCGTAACTTTTTTTTTATTACACTAGTTTGTAACTGTGTGCCTGGTAATACCGAAATTAAATTGTAAATACTCTAATTCATTGTATAACTAATGCTAGCATTGTTAATACAGAACGATTCTGTGTCAGTTCGAAATGCCTACCTAAAGACCATAAAAAACTATAGTGCCCCACAGCGAGACGGCGCCTGAGACTAGTGCGCTCAAGCTTCGATGACGCTGCACAAGCTGTTTTCAAATAGGAGTGCTCGCGGGTGGTGAAGAATGAAACGATGTTGGTGCGTTGAGCGTGTCCCCCTAAAAAAATTAATAAATCAGGTAAGAGTGTGCAAAAAAGTTTCTGATGCCACCAACTTCATTTGGTCTGATGACTTCACAGTGAATGGGAAAAAATGTCTTCGTTGTGCCAGAAGAAAAGTTGCCGCCCGGAGCTGTTTCTTTCGCAGCTTGCTAGTTTTTTTATTTTCTAGTCAGCATATTATTTGCTTTGCATTCTTTTCTTGTTTGCGGTTGCTAAATTTTTTTTTCTCCCTTTCCATTGACTCAATGTCAACTAAGTTAATGTGTTTTTTTTTAAGTTTGCTTTGTTTTTGTGTTTTCAATAACAATTAACTGAGCCTCCACCTTATCCCCTTCTCTCATCTCCATGTTGGAACAAGCGTTTTCTCGAGTCGATACATTTGCGGCCGTACTAGAGCCTGAAAAGTAGCTTGCCCGCAACAGTGAAGTGTGACAAGGTGAAGCATTTGGAAATCTGAAGGGGCTACTTTTAATTAGACATCGACTGTACTTTTTTATTTTTGAGCAATTCGACCATGGCATAGCTTGACATGCAGCTTTGCCGTAATACCAGAATACGATGAGGTGAAGCATAGCAAAGATTTGAAGGGATAACTTTCAGTAAGACATTGTTGGCATTTGTTCTTGGAAAGTTTTAAAAGTTAGTGAAAATTCCAGTACAAATCATATTGAATAGCAAGCACTATTCGAAAATTACTCGAAATTTCGAACATTCGCACACCCCTAATCACAATATCCGGGATTTAACGTTCCAAAACCACGACAAGTTTATGAGGGGCGCTGTATTGGAGGGCTCCCGAAATGTCAACCATCTAGTCTTCTTTAACACGCTCACTACGTCGTGGGTCATGGCCTGTTCTCCACGTGTGTGGCTGCAAAATTATGCGCGTTTGTCTGCTTGCGGCTGCAATAACTTCATTACACCTGAACCCAAAGGTAGGATGTTTGTTGCAGGAGGGTGCACATGCCTAGGAAAATATTATCTGACGTTAAAGGCATGACCCACCGGTGACCCAAGAGCTCTCCATCTTGTGCTACAATCTGAATTTCAAAATTGCAACTAATATACATCGTCTATTGCACTGGACACGCGGTGGCGCGATTGTTTCCAAGGAACCGAGTGGCAGCACGTTCCTCTACTGTGTTAATCGCAAACTTTTTTCGCAGTTTTTGAAGTATGTGTCATTGCACTAAGCGTATGAGTTTTCTGTGCTGTTCCATAACTTTTCAGCTCACCTTATGGGGGTGACGCCTTTTACAAGCACAAAATAAAGCACAGCACCTAAGAAAGACGCTAACTTATCACGTAAATCGATTCTATGTGTTTTTTTTGTGTGTGGCAAGCACTTTGTATTTTGGTGGGGTGCTGACAGCCCTTGTAAAGTTGTTTACGCCGCGTGGTTCGTGCAGAAGGCGTATTTCGGGGTCACAACTATTGAGCGGTAGGTGGCGTTGTGTTGGCGAGCGCTGATCACCACTATTATCATCATGGTTAGATCGGTAGCGCCGGCAGTGACTCCTGGCGGCAAGCCTTGGTGGCGGAGGAGAGAGTTGAGCGAGTCTCTTCGACCAATGGTGGTTGCCGCGAGCGGTTGTCTCTAGTGTGGGTCCTCGGTGCGTCACACCGCGGGTTGCGCGCCGGGGGTCCTCATGGTTAGTCAAGCGTTGGCGACGCCACCTTGGGTGTGTTATTGTGTTTGTCATGTTGTTGAATGCGTAATGTTGTTTAGCGTGCGGATCACAGTTGATGTTATAACGATTCGGCTGACAATATCGTCGATCAAAAAGTAGTTAAATAAATATGTGTATTGGCTTGGTTTGGTCCAACCGTGCCTGCTGTCTCTGTTCACTCCAAGATAGTGGTGCTCTTGTCTTTCGAGATCCCGCAATTTCAGCACATATTTACGCAGAGAAGCCAAAAAACAGCTTTGCATCTTTCAAAGAAATGCCGCCAACACCAGCCACAAAGAGGGCAGCGCCATCTCGTTAAAGCGAAGACTAGAGGCATATTCGCATGTCTGAACGGTGGGTCACTCACTCCCAACTCGAAACGACACTAACAAAAAGCAAGCCGCAGTGGATGCGTTAAGGTCCACCGACATTGCACAGCACGCACAGGCCGCAACAATTTCACCGAAATGCAGCGGCCGGGGATTGAACCTGCTACCCCTGGGTCAGCAGCAGAGCACCGTAGCCACTTGTCCGCTACAGTGGACAAAAAGAGGCTTTGATTGATTTGTGGGGTTTAACGTCCCAAAACCACCCTATGATTATGAGAGACACCGTAGTGGAGGGCTCCAAAAATTTTGGCCTCCTGGGTTTTTTTAACGTGCACCCAAATCTGAGCACACGGGCCTACAACATTTCCGCCTCCATCGGAAATGCAGCCGCCGCAGCCGGGATTTGATCCCGCGACCTGCGGGTCAGCAGCCGAGTACCTTAGCCACTAGACCACCGTGGCGGGGCGACAAAAAAAGGCTGGTGTAGTTTCTAGCATGATAGAAAAAAAATAAGTTTTTGTCGACATGAAGAAACACCACATTCCTGGTCATAAAACAAAGAAGACAAGATATGAAATCCTGGGCACACGTGGTGTCGCTGCAGCCAACATTTCAACGAGCGGATTTGACTTCTTTTAGGCAGCTGAAGAAAACACAAGACCAGTTACACTTAAACCTCATTATTACAAAGTTGCATTTTACAAGAAAATAGGTTCATTACATTTGAAAGTTCGTTAAAAGGGTATTCCTGACACTTTATCTATTGCAGGGCTATTCTTCATTTACTTTGCTATAACCGATATTTCATTATTTCCGTGTTCGTTATAGTGAGGTTAGAGTGTATCTTAAGAATGATCTTAAGATAGATAAAGTGTTAGAAATAACCTTTATAACGAACTTTCAGATGTAATGAACCCATTTTCTTGCAAAAAGCAACTTTGTTATAATGAAGTTTGAAGAAGACAAATATGCTTACGTTGGCTCCAACAACACCTCCTGTTCGAAGGATTTTTTCACTGACACACAAACGTTGGCTTGACACTGTCTGGCAAAAGAGGGCACCAACCTGAAAGGTCCTCAGGTCCCAAACCTTGATGGCGCCGTCATCGCCGCCAGAAAGGAGGAAAGGCTCTTTCCGGTTCCAGCTAATGACATTGACATCAGCCTCATGGGCGTCGGCGGCCGTGAGCATGCACGCCTTGTGGGGCGCCGCACGGACATCCCACACTCTGATGGACTTGTCGACCGAACAAGACGCCATGACCTGAAACATGTAGCGCAAATAACTGGTTGTCAAGTACAGTTTTCGGAGTTTAGTGCGGCAACCCTAATTTCATGATTGCCAGCTCCCGCACACACATATGCACGGAGTTTACTGAGCTCTCAGTATTTTGCCCCCCATTTCCAGAAAGTTTACGAGGGCACTAAAACTGAGCAATACAAAAAGAAAAGAATAATTTTGATGTACACTCAAACATCATTCTTCCAACAGATACAGTGTTAGGAAAAACCTTTATAGCGAGTCGTCGGATATATCAAAACTTATTTTCTTGTAAGATGCAACATTGTTAGGATGAGCTTCGGGTGTACCTCTAATCAGGATTAACAAAGCGTACACAGATCACTGAAACATTTTTGTAAGGGCATCCGGAGATGGAGTGAATGAAAAAATAAAAAATAAATGTGGTGGCAGATGCATTGTCATCACCGAATTAGATAATGCAAAAGCACTATTTCTGGTTTAATTTTAAAGAACAGGTGGCATGTCAAACTAACGCAAGCAGAGCAGAAACACAGAGCTCTTTCAAACCTGGACATTGGGAATTTTGGCATGTTTTGCAATAAAATCTCTATGCCGAAGCAACCTAATGACATTACACCAATCGTGCCTATGATGGACATCATCGTAATACAACACCAGTGCCACGCAGGCACGTCTAGTTGCAACTGGGGCAGATCGGAACTGAACTTCTTAATCACAATTTTAACAATGCTCGCTGTTCCAGGGTCAACAACTAATTCAAACCTAGCTTGTCACAGACATCGGCAAAATCGAAATCTGGGAGCCACGTCACAGTGTGCAGATTGTGACCGTCTCAAACCTGATTGAACCTGATCGCAATTTATAAGTGACCAAACAGCAGCGTCTGATCTGGATTCAGCCCAATCTATGCCAGCCCTGAGTAAAAAAAAAAGTGCGCATGTGACACTGGTACAGTCGAACCCCTTTATAATAGACACATGCCTGAGAGTCATTCCTGCCTTTTATACGAGGTGTTTCTTACCACGTGTGCATTTTGCTATCGTCCCAGATTTCAATGTAGGCGCAGTGGTGTCTATTACACCCATTGGTCTCTTGCATCAGTGTCTTGTATAAAGGGGTTCAACTGCATAACAAACTGAATAATTTTGACGAGTTGAAGCGCTCTGAAGGACAATCTGTGACAAACTCTCCATCACATAACGTGACGAATTGAAGATGTCACTGAATCACGTGACGTCCCATTTCCCTAGCACACAAACTACGATTTACAACAGACTAGCTGTCTACGATGCTCAAACTTCCAACATCGAATGCCCTACCGTGGCTTCATTGGGAGACCATTGGATGTCCTCAACTGATGCCGTGTGCGCCGTGTAAGGTCGCTGGTCAACATGCCAGCTGCCTTCCTGCGGCTTCCACAGGTGGATGCTCTTGAGGCAATCGCCAGTTGCTAGTACACCTGCAAGGCACGAGATATAGTCTTGTTTTTTTTTTTAACAATAGTTTTTCTTGGGATACCTGAATGCAGAAATTTCAGTCTACGTCTGTCTTTCTGTCTGTCGCACGAAACCATTCAGCGAAAGTTTAAGCACTTGCTGAACACCTAGCCATCATGAACTGGTGGCTGCATTCATACTTGCGAGGATAGTCGATCAAAAAACAAATATTACGTATATGTGAGGTACAACAGCCATACATAAGTATTAACTCTTTTGTTACCACACCTATTCAAATAGATCCCTGGTGATCGACGCCTTTGGATAATCGATTTTGGAATGTTAAATTTCTTTATCGTGCACCCAGCACTTTCTAATAGTTAGTACAGTCACTCAACTTTAAGAATAAATCTGAATTGGCCCATTTTGGCAACAATGTGATTTTTTACAGACCTTAGCACAAACTAATCTGCGTGTATTGTTGAAAAAGTGCACTAGGCTGGCCAACTTGACAGAAGTGCGTACCCCTCGTGATTATACTACAGCAACATCGAACTTCTGTAATGAAAATAACCTTAGCAAGCCAAATATCTAGTGTCAGCTTTGCCATTTGACTATGTTGAGCAGTAATGATTGCCAGAAAGTTTTGCCAGATATTCAATAAAGAGCTGTTTCTAGGAGTCGGGGAAAATTTGTTCTACAAAAAGTATTCAAACGTCCACTGCGCATTTAAAGTGTCGAGGTGGCCTTCTCCGACAGTTTCCAGCAGCTTCGGTTTTGCTTGCAGTGTTATATCAGACCCAAGGTCGCATCTAGTGTCTCTAGTCGCTCTTATGATATCGTCGTCTTGCACGCATGGGTGCACACCAGCGCTGCAAAAAAACATGCACTGCTCCAAACTGTCTTGCAACCCTACCTGAATTGAGTGAGGTCGAGCTGAGAGTTCGACGATAACAGCACCTCAGCTTCAAATTTTATGGAGACGGTGTTTTGTGTCAGCCTGAGACAGCACATCCTTTCACGGGTTTGTTTTGTTTACGGCCTCAAGTTGTCTCCTCCGCCACAACTGCGTATAGCTTCTGACCTTTGGGCACAATCTTATAGCTACTCTGGCTACATGCGCGGTCCATACTTCGCTGGAGCGCGGTGTGCTGGGGCTGGCTGCAGAGCTTCTCCTAACGGCAAGATGGCCCCCAGAGCGTCTCTTGACGGTGACTACAGAGCAGCGCAAAACAATTTAGAACAGCGCGCAATATTGTCCTTTCCTTAATACAATATGCGCTAAAAAGCAAATAAATAGGCTTGGATGCATATATTGGAACTCCAACCTATGCTGAGTGAGATGGCTCATGGAAAGAGGTGACGCTAGATTTATTAGTGAAGTTCATTGAACGTGCCATTTATTGAGGCATTATTCAGATCACGGTTATCTATCTATATTATTGGAACACCTAGAGACTCTTATCGCAAGAGAACAAAAATTTACTGAGAAAGTGTACAACTACACATGTGTCTCACGGAAAACCATGCATTGCTTCACCACACGGCATGAGCAACGAAGCAGCACCTTGGTTCTGATTTTCTTTGTCTATGTTAAGAGAAACATATTGTACAACATTCATTATTTTTTATAATATTCCTGGGTCATTAATCTACAAAATGTACATTCTAAATCTTGTTTGTTTTGAATTTTTTAATCCACTGTTTACCAGCTGGCGACCAAAAATTCAACACTTTTCTGGTTTTTATTCACTGTAAAATAATTTTGTTGCTCTACAACATATATTTTTTGGGAAGAACATTTCGTTGTGCAAAGTTTGGTATGAGTGCTGTTCAAACTGGAGTGCTTTTCAAACTGGCAAAAGCGATCTTCCCTAGACATATGAGAAACAACCATTTTCGCACAGTAACGAGCGGGTCAAGTGGTACTGTTCATTTACTAAAAAATACGCAAAGACGTTATTCTAAAGACCCTACTGTTTTTTAGGCCGCACTAACAATGCGACATTATGCACGAAAAAAGACCGGGAGAAGACTATCATCTTCTGACGAGATTTGCCACGAAGCACGCATATACGTGGCCAGATTTCTTTTTTTCGAGTGTGAAGCATTTCTCAGCGAACTGCAAGCACTTTTGGCGCCTGTCTGTCTATCTAGCCGCTTACCTCTGGGTGCTCTCGCGGTCGCCCTTTCAACTCTGGGTACATTAAAATTTGTATGGGAGGGTAAAATGGTTTGACGAATATGACGCGCTGGTCATGACAGGAATACAGTCAACTGCAGATTTTTCGGACCTTCTAGGGAGTGAAAACCGTCGGAAAATTCGGGCAGTCCGAAAAAATGAATACAGGCAACAAAAAAAAAAACGCATTACTTTACTGATAATTTTCAATGCAAGCAAAAAAAAACGCACCATTTCATTGATATTTCTCGGATCAAGAGGGTCAAGGTCGAAGTGCCAGACTTCCGGAACTCTGCCAAAGCATCAGTGGGGTGGCTCTGAAAAGAGCCGTTAAAACAAAATGCATGCAGCCGACAGTGGTGCCATCAGGGCAGCCGGTGTTAGAGCTGCAGTGGCTTGAAAAACTTGTTAATCCTTATTTGAACGGCGTTCCGCTTGCATGTGATCAGATTCGCCTCGATCTGAGCAAGGATCATGTCATTACTGTACACCGATGACAGCGTCATCAATGCTCGCATCAATTCGGCGGTCCTAGGTGGCGCAGGCGTTGGTTCCTCTTTTTCGACATCAGAGTCGTTTGAATCCGCCATAACCTGACTGACTATTTCGTCGTCGGTTAGCTCTGTGCAGAAGTCGAGCTCGTTGTCAGCGTCGACGAACCGCTCAAAAGTTATTTCCGTGGGCATGGAAGCACCAGCAGAGCGGAGGTCGTTGATAATATCGTCCATGAGAGGACACAAGTAAGTCACGCTGTTGCTTTTTTCAGGCAAGTCTGCTGCCTCTGTATCGAGTACGAAGCCCGCGTGGCAAAAGCAGATGCGAAGTGTGTCTTGCGTTACTGCCTTCCATGCGTCCGCAAGCATTCGGACAGCAGACCGAAGGTCAACGCTGTAGCCTTTCCCGCTTTCCGAGCACAGCACCATGCGGTTGAGTATTACTGAACGGTACAAAAGTTTCAGATTATCCTCACGATGTCAACAAAGGAGTTTGCTGACAAGCGTCGAAGCACCTAGGCTAAGCGTTGCAGAGCACACTTTACACGATCGCACAACCACACACTAGGCTAGCCAAACACCATGTGGGCTGCGTAAACAAATCGGCGCGATGGTGCCTCGAGTACTCCGGAGTTGGCGCTGGTGAACATTCAAGATAGCCAGCGTGGCCAGACCAAACCAGTGTGTGACGGTTAAATCTGGTTCGAAACGCTTTGCGAAAGCGCTGCGCGGGAAGCCAGAGTGGCACGCACGAGCACAAGCGCTAAAGCGAAAGGAACTTTATTGGCGCCAAAAAATTTCCGGATGGATAGTTTCGATTGTCAGCGAAACACCCTTGCACGATAAACACAACCAGTGTTAGAAATCTCGGAGGCCGTGTGTGTTTCTCGGCTAACGATCAACGAATCCATGCAACAGTAGACCGGCGCGCTCATTTATGCGATCGTAATCGCGTGTGACGCAGTTGTGGTTGTTTCCACTGGTGGTCAGTGGTGGTTTCTGACCTTCCGTCGCGTCAAAAAGTCCGGAAAATTGGACTCCGGGGGGTTCGAGCGTCCGGAAATTCAGACTTCCCTATACATTGATTCTATGGGGCTCGTGGCGGTGCCGCGAAGATGTCCAAATTATCGGGCATGTCTGAAAATTCGGGTGTCCGAAAAAACGGCAGTTGACTGTAATGTCACAATCTCGTTACACATGTTATCAAACACTTTCGGAAAAACAGTGGCACATACCCGGGGGCAGGTATGTGCCACTGGTATGTGGGTTTGTGCGACAGGTGATAGACATTTTACATCTACCCAGGAACAGCGAGAACACACATGGGTAACTTCAACGCTTGAGCGTTAAGAAAAAGCTGCCACAGGCATCGTTGATTGGACGAATGCAAACAATAAATCTCGGTTTCCCAGAAAGAATCGAACCCTAGCACTTTGCATGGCAATTAAGTATTCTAACATAGAGCCACACCAGGCCTCAGATATACTTTTCAAATAGACCCTAATGTTTGTGTAACATCAACTGTGGTTGCACTACTGGCTATCTGATTTCATAACCATTACATATGCACTCCTACGATACAGCCGTCACGTCGAGTTAACATCAATTGTAGTTAGGCACCATCCGCTAAAGTTGATTTGTGTAGCAGTGTTGAGGGCTACTATCCTCGTGCGCACCAGCACAAACACCAGCGCTTCATATCAGCTTACCGCTTCTGGTGTTGCTAATTACCATCTTGATGTGTGCATTGTTATGCAACTGTAAATAACTGCTAATATAAAACATATTTGGCTGCTCGACGAATGTGCGTGCATGGATTGGTATACAGCCCCACTTTATAACATCTTGCTCATTAAAAAAATTAAACACATTCGCCTTCTCTCTGTATAACATTGATTCCCAAGGTACATGGGATCTGCCGAATTTTTTTTCCTTCTTTTTTCTGTTTTGCCTACGCTGCTCAATGCTTTTATAGGACCAGCATGTAGAGAATAGTATTGTCACAAACTAAAAAAATCTCATGCTAGCGCAGCCAGCAACAACTTGCTCAGCACATTAAATTTTAAACAACACTCTTGTGAAACCACATGCTAATATTCGGCAAAATAGATTCAAGCCCCATCTCTCTTAACGGCTACTAAGCAAATGAATAGGTCGAGTCACAGCTCAAGTGACAGCAACATGGCAAAACAAAAGTAAAATAATAACTGCTAAATATCTTATGTATCCAGCTTGAAGAACACAAAAATATTTAAACAGTCTCCAAGACCACATTATATATTTAAACAGTGCTTATTGTCTGGTGTTTCGCCTCTAGACTAGAAGATTTTTATATGTTTAAAACTGAAGATAAACGTAAACCAGAAAACTTTTGCCCGCTACTGCCAACATTGAGTCTTGGAAGCTTCTTGAACACTCGACTCTCACCTCGGAAAAAAAATAGCTCTGTCTTTCAGAAATAACATGGCCTCAAGGAATGTTCTTTTTGCAGAACACAGTTACTGGAGTTTACATACGATCAACATGTCAATGTAAACAACTGTCACCAGTGAATGCCATTTTTTTGTATTTTTCAAACGCATCCGATAGCATTGCCCATCGCCACCTTATTTCTATACTTTCTGATCTAGTAATTGACTCACTAATCCTTTCGTGGCTTGTAAACTTCTTTTCACATCATCAATTTATGACGTGAAAACTTTGAGCACGGTCTCGTACTTATATCTCCTGCTGGCACCAATTATGGTGCACTGTCTGCAGGTGCATCAAATTGATATCGCATAATTCCAAGGCACTTAATATTATGCTCCAAAAAAGAAAACCGAAGAATGGGTAGTGTTGTGAGTTTCAGTAATTGATCATTAGAATGCATAATTATACGCATAATTATTTTACCATGAGTCACCTTCGGTGGTTGCATAAAAATCAAACATTAGACCAAAAATGCAAGCACAGATTCTTTTTTGGTTATACACTCAAACCTCCTTATAACAGTTACAGCTGCCACAAAAATACTTTATTATGTACAAAAACTTGTTATAAATATTTATTTGTAGCAATGTGTCTAGGACAGAGCTTTTTTTCATTTACTTCATTATAAACAATAATTCATTGTATCCGGGTTCGTTTATATCGAGGTTTGAGTGTACTGATTTGGAGTAAAGAAAAAAACGTTTAATGTTTGTTTTGCCACACAGCAAGTCGAACATTGTAGAATCTCCAGCAAAATTATCCTCTGCAGCACAAAGAAGTTGAAAGACCATCAGTCCTCCCCTCAGGAAGCTTTCACGAATGCGCACATTGCATTTAAAGCCATTCGAAGAAATACGCGGTGGGTGACGCACCTACGAAGTTTTCATGGACAATTGTACACACAGGGATAAGCGACGAACAAGCCGGCCCACTGACCTGGCTTGGTTGGCGACCAGTCGACGGCGTAGCCCTCGGCCAAGTGACCTCCGAAGTTGAAGATGGGCTTGGGAGCCTCGTGGTTGCGCACGTAGGACGACATGGCCGAAGGATGGTCGAGCACGTGGAGAGGTCGAGCGAGGTCCCACAGGTAGACGCGACGGTTTTCCGACCACGACGCTGCCAGGGTCTTGTCACCGACCTTAGCAACCTGGAATGATGGCACTAATTGATAATCGTTCTTGGTAACCTGGAATGATGGCACTAATATTAACAGTTCTCGGTGCTCCTTCACGGTGTCTACCAATTTAATTCTAGTGAATTCTCAGACTGCCAAGCCTGCTTGGGCAAACGACAGTCTGGACACTGCAAACATGGTAAACAATATAACGCGTGCATAAAGAGAGTGCAGAACTGAGGATGCCTGCTGTTGCAGAGACACTGACTGGGCTTGACTTAACCTGGAAAACTTATGCTCATAGCACCTCTCGCCAAACCAGACTGCTTTCAAGCTGAGCCGAGGCCATAGCAAAGACAAACAAGAGCAAGTTTACCGGAGTGAGTCATGTCAGGCTTGGGAATAGAGATATACTGTATGACATGCTTCTGCTTAGCCCCTTACCGTAGATGCAGAGAAAAGAGCGACCTTAGAAGCTTAGACCCAATGGCAAAGATCGTTTTCGTGACATTCACACAGGGTGGCATCGGTCAGTTTCCATGACCCTGCCAGGCGCTTCGAAAATTCCATGACAATGCCTCGACTTTTCCAAGCATGCCCAAATTCTCTAACAGTTCCAGGTTTTCCCGATTGGTAGACACGCTCGCAATAAAAGCACGGCATGATGTATGATGATGAGGCATGATGTAAAGGGGGACTCCGGATTAGTTTCAACTATGATCATTTCAAAGAATGGCATAAAGTATTTTCAAACCATTGTAATGCATGCTATGACGATACATCCAAGCCGCCCCACATTGGCTTGAGCAAATAGGAAAAGTTCGAAGCACAATAGTTGCCGGACCTCTTCTCCTCATCCAGTAAAAAGCACTATAAAGTACTTCCCTCAAATATTTGCAATTAACAAGTGTTTACTCAAAGCACATTGCAAGGGGCCCAGCATGACAGCCTTGATTTAGTTAGCTTTGGCAATGTGTCACAGAAACTGAGGCACACGATATTGATTCAGAAGCTCTACTACGGACAGGACCATACCCAGCAACTGGTGGCCACTGTGAAGGCATGTAAGCTTAGCATCACCCGGGAATTTAAAGTGCGAAAAAATCTGGGAAGCGTCAGGATCCCCTAAACAGCCCCCTAGTTATAACCCTGGCTATTGCATCTTTTGGAATTTTGGATCTTACCTAATTACCAAGCTGAACTCAAAATATTAAATTTTAAAGCAATATTCTCCACCCATGTGTTGGTGTCACATTGACCCTTTCATTAGCAACTTTTTTCCTAGAGTAAATCAACTCGCAAAATAGGCTTTTCAAACAAGATTACAAAGCTACGCACTCTGACACGGTTGACGCAGCCATTGTGCGGGATGAGAGCAGTTTCCAGCTCCGGTTTAGAGTCTTCGTCGTCACTGTCTGAGCTGTCCTCGTCGTCGCCGGCGTCCTTTTGTGATGCCTCCCTGTTTCGACTCAGGTTGCTGCATGGCAAATAATTAACATCCAGTTAGCATTAACGCTACCAGCATATCCAATGTGGAGTCAAGTGTTCATATAACTACTACAGTTAATAACAAAGCCTGTAAAGGCATGTAAATAGATATGATCACGTTGTCGTGCTTTCTCCGTGTAACCAGTAACTTGTATTATGTACTTTATGTAATTCCACCCCATATGACCGCTGGCCCTAGCAGAAGTTTCATATTACCGGAATCTTCCTCAGAGGCAGTATTGAAACTTTGTTTTATTGAAATCTTGCATAAACACACTTCATGATATGCTGTTTTCAAGTATGTGATGCATGGCCACGACGTTGTGAAAAGTGAAATGTGACGGTAAAACTAACGATAGTTATAGCGCACGAATAAAACGACAACACAGAGACAAGAAGGACACGAAAGACACGAGCGCTCGTGTCCTTGTCTCTGTGTCGTCGTTTTGTTCTCGTGCTATAACTATCGTCATGCCATACCAACTAGCCCGAGCTGCCACACTTCTAAGTTATTGATTGATGTGTGGGGTTTAACGTCGCAAAACCACCATATGATTATGAGAGACGCCATAGTGAAGGGCTCCGGAAGTTTCGACCACCTGGGGTTCTTTAACGTGCACCCAAATCTGAGCACACGGGCCTACAACATTTCCGCCCCCATCGGAAATGCAGCCGCCACAGCTGGGATTCGAACCCGCGACCTGGGGGTCAGCAGCCGAGTACCTTAGCCAATAGACCACCATGGCGGGGCCACTTCTAAGTTAGAACTAAGTTAAACTGCACTGAAATAAGAAAGGTCATGGACAAATTCAACTATTAGTTAGTGGGTCTGTGTCTTTCATATTAAGTTTGGTGATTGATGTGAAGTGACTAGGGTGACATACATAAAAGAAAAGGCAAGTCCTTTTACCTCATCTTCATCACCATGAGGTGGTTCAGGTGTGAGCGCTCGGCCTGGGTGCCGGAGGTAAGGTAGCAGGTGAGGGGGAATCGATCTGCCCGGTCGTCACCCAGGCCATCCTTGATGATGTCGAAGCTCAGACATGGTGCGACTGCAAATAAATTGTTTATCACAGTAATTAAAGTGTAAACATCTTAATGGCGATATGAACACCAACACCGTAAGCAGCGCATGCCATCTTCATCCGCTCTGTTTTTGCTTAAATAGCGGAGGTTTTCAGCTTATCCGGCAAACGTATAGGGGTTGAGGGAATACTGGATTGCTGTGCAATAGTATTGGCATCTTGTGATGCTCAATAGACTCGCGTCTTTGCTAACACTAAGTTTGCTTGAAGAAAAAGTTGAAGAGGGAAACTCATTCAGTGTTAGGCTGCTGTTGAGAATTCATACTAGAAGAAAATGAGAATGCACTAGGTTCCTGCAGTAACAACTTTAGGCTTGCCTTGTTCGTCTCAGCACCGCCAGATGGCACCACCTTCCAACCCCACCCTCTCATGCTCACCTCTACAGAGTTTGTGGTATAGCGATAATAAAAAAAGTTTTGCAGGCAACTCTCTAATGAGAGGAGTGTTTAGCCACGCTTACATGAACGGAACAGCGCCAAATTGCACTGCCTTTCACTGTTGCAGTAACTGATGCTAGGTGACAATGTTCTAACGTAACATTTCTCCCTTGAACTATTTTTCAGAAAGCGATAAGTGGAGATGAGCACAAGCCATCAGCTGTCGTGATTTTCCTCTCTCCATCAATGCAATACGCAATGCAGGTTGACTAGCTGGTCTTGACTAACCCCTGACCAGGAAACTAATGCAATTAAACTTCTCGGGGCATTGTTACCATGTAAATGGATACCTTGCTCTAAAAACGGGGTGCAATGTGCTGCATTTTACATACAAATTGTTGTAAGACTATTTCACACTTAAGCAGCAAGAGAGGCACCAAAGAAAATGACGTAACTTTGGAGTGTGCGGTGCGCTCTCCTCCATCTTGGTTTACACTTGGGCGTAGCGTAAATATATTATTATGCCTTGTTCATCTGTGTGCCTTCACATAACAATAGAAAAACAGCTCTTTATCTAAATAAGATGGTTGTATAATATGATACTGATATGGCTGTTCAAGCCAAGCCAAGAACTTCATAGATAGCAGTTACTTTCTTTTGATTACAGTTCACTGTACTTCTTATGCAATGCATCAGATAGGTTCTCAACGTTAAAGTGCTCTCGCTAAAAGCTTGCAATTGAAGCAAACCGGCAAGTGATGCATTAGTACAAAGAAGTATTTGGTCCTTAATTAACATCTGAAAGTGCAGCAAATAATGACAATCGTGATTGGAGGCCACAGATCTCGACTGCACACGTGAAAGGAATAAAGTCCCTAGAACTTCAGATGGATGGATGGATGTGGCTGTACCCTTTAGATAGGGCGGCGGCTAACGCCCCCTAGCCGTAATACTTAGTGAACTAACCATTAGATTTATCTTTTTTTTCCCCTTTAAATAGTGAGGTTGAGGATTCGTACTTTGCAGTGAAGGGTTTAATTTTCACTCGTGCCTTGACTTTAGCCACCAATCAGATAACCTCCTTCTAGTTAAGTCTACCCGCTTAAAGTCTATTTTGCCCTCACCCTCCCTAAACCCGAGTGCTTTGAGAAACTCTGTGCCATCATCCTGAACTATAGGGTGAAGCCCTTTACAGAACATTATCAAGTGTTCGGCAGTTTCTTCTTCCTCTCCACACGCACTGCATACAGTGTCTACCCCTTCGTATTTGGCCCGACATGTCTTGGTTTGCAATACTTTCGTCCTGGCCTCAAACAGTAGAGAACTACCCCGAGTATTATCATAGATCTTTTCCTTGGCAATTTCCTGCTTAAAAGTTCGATAGATCTCTTGTGCGGACTTCTTAATCATGCCAATTCTCCACATATCTGTCTCAGGTTCCTTCACCTTCTTCTTAACCGATAATTCTTTTTGGTTGGGCCCCTTGCTGTTTTCCAAGTATTTACCAGTCAATTTTCTGGTTCGCTTCCGCCATTTTGTATCGACATTCTTCATGTACAAGTAGCTGAATACCTTCGTAGCCCAACGCTCCTCCCCCTTTCTCTCAATCGCTTCTCAAATTTTATCTTGCTACTAGCTTCGCTGCCCTCAAATGATGTCCATCCCAAATCACTTTGTACTCTCTGATTTGGTGTATTCCTGTGAGCTCCTAAAGCAAGCCTACCTATTCTGCGTTGCTTAATTTCTAATCTTGCTTGAACTTCTGATCTCATGCACAAGACCGCATTGCCGAACGTCAGCCCAGGAACCATGACCCCTTTCCATATTCCTCTCACAACATCATACCTATTGTAATTCCACAGTGCCCTATTTTTCATCACTGCTGCATTCCTGTTACCTTTAGTCGTCACGTATATTTCGTGTTTCCTCAGGTACTCGGTCCCATTGCTTATCCATACGCCCAGATATTTGTATTTATCTGTTATCTCTAGCGTGACCTCCTGTATCCTAAGCTCACTACCTTCGTTGTCATTGAAAATCATGACTGCTGATTTTTCCTTACTGAATCTAAAATCTAACCTATCTCCCTCATTACCGCAGATGTCCATCAATCGCTGCAAATCTTCTTTGTTGTCGGCCATTAGCACTATATCATCTGCGTACATTATTGCTGGTAGTGCCTGATCAATGAGTTTTCCTTGTTTGACTAAAAAGAGGTTGAAGCCAAGTCCACTTCCCTCTGATTTGGCCTCTAATCCTTGTAGGTACATCATGAATAACAAGGGTGACAGAGAACACCCCTGCCTAAGTGCCTGTTTCACCTCTGTGGGCTTGGATACCTGTTTTTCCCACTTTATAACTATCTTGTTACTTTTATAGATTTCCTTTAAAAGATTAGTGACTCCATCTTCCACACCCCGTGTGTCTAGTATTCCCCACAAGTCCTCTTGAACCACCCTATCGTACGCTCCCTTGATATCCAAAAATGCTAGCCACAGGGGCCTGAGTTTCTTTTCTGCTATTTCGATGCACTGTGTCAGTGAGAACAGATTGTCTTCCAACCTCCTGTGTTTCCGAAACCCATTCTGCAGTTCCCCCAGCACCCCCTCATCCTATATCCATGCCCGCAGTCATTCCTTTATAATCTGCATCGCCAGCCTGTAGACCACTGATGTCACTGTTATAGGACGGTAGTTGTTTATGTCATCTTTGTCCCCCTTTCCTTTATAGATCATGCTCATCTTGCTAAGTTTCCATCCATCAGGGAGTTCACCATCGATTATTGTTCTGCTCACTGCCTCTCTCAAAGTCTGTTTAGACTTCGGACCCAATGTCTTTATCAGAATAATTGGAATGCCATCTGGGCCTGTTGATGTACTACTAGGAACCCTTTTCTCAGCCCTTTCCCACTCTCGTTGTGAAAATGGAGCCATTGCACCACTTGATTCGTCCTTGTCTATTGTGGTGCATAAAGTACTTCTTTGTTGAAATTTTTCTGTCACCCTTGTTCTTATATATTCAATAGCTTCGTCCCCTTCTAGCCTGGCACCTTGGGCTGTAGTTATAAAACTCTGCTCTAGGCTCGTCTCATTTCTTAGGGAGTTTAGATGGTTCCAAAATTTTGCAGCTGCCTTTCTATCTTTATGTACTTCTGCCAGCCACTGAGCTCCTTTTCTTCTAATCTTTTCATTGATCACGAGGGATGCTTCCCTTCTAGAGCTTAGAAAGATTTCCCATTTTCTTTCAACATCATCTGTCGGTTCACCCCATTGCTTAGCATGTCTGTGTTCCCTAGAGGCTTCCTGACGTTTTGCTATGGCTCTCTTAACTTCCTCATCCCACCAACTCTTGGGCTTGTGTCTTCTTTTCCAGGGTGACTTGTCACGTGCTTTAGCAAGCTCTAGCCCAAACAGTCTAGTTAGATTTGTGTATGTCCACACAGTTTTATTATCTTCAGTGATTACTTTCTCAATTTGTTTAGTAGCAATTTCTATTTGCCTTTCTGAATGGAAATTTTCCTGTAGTTGCTCATCTTGTCTCCTTCCCACTTTTGCTGCTCTTCCAAAACTTAGCTTGATACATTTGTGATCACTACCCAGACTTCTGGAGCCACCTTCATCTATGTGCGTTCCCCTGAGCTTATCATATATCCTATGTGACAACAGTGCGTAATCTATCACTGACTGCAGCCTTCCTACCTCCCACGTTATTTGCCCTTCACACTTCTCGGTACTGTTGCAAATGATCAAATCATGCCTTTCACACATATCCATGATCATTTTGCCTGTTGAGTCAGTATACCCATCTATATCTTCAATGTGCGAATTCATATCTCCTAGTATAATTATCTCGCACTCTACTCTTAACTCCTGAATGTCATTTGATATACACTCTACCATTGCCTGGTTTTCGTCTCTGGCCTTTGCTCCCGTCCACAAGTACACGAAACCAAGGAGTATCATATGCCCTGCCACTTTCCCTTTTAGCCATAAATGTTCTTTGCATCCCTGCTTGACTCTTTGCCAACTCATGCTCTTATGTATAAATGCACCAATCCCACCCCCTTTTTGCTGCCTTCTGTTCTATTGCAATATTCCCATACGTAGTCCGGATTGCAGGGTGGTTGCTCCAGGTACTGAAGATGTGTCTCCACAACCCCATATACCATCAGCTCCTCCTGCCTCAACTGCTCTTCTATCTCTTCCCACTTTAACCTATTCCTGCCACCCTGCATGTTAATATAGCCTACGTCCGACTTAGCTCAGCCCTTGTGTTAACGACCATTTCTTCTCCCACGGACTTCGTGTGGCTTGAATACTTGTGCCCCTTTAGGTCCGTCTTTGGCTACACTGCTGGCCTCAGGGCTCTGGGTCCCCCTAAAAAAGCTATGGCTTGGCGACCCATTCTGTTACCGACCCTCCTGCCCGTCGCTCCACTGTAGTGAATGCCATCCTGTGCAAAAGGGCGAGCGCCGGGCTCATACACGTCTTGGTTAACTTCCATTACGCTGTATCCGAGTTGCTGGCTCAAACCCTTGATCACACAATTGGCCTCCACTACCCTCCTTTCAGTCCCACGAGGCTGCCCCCAGACCTCTGGGACTGTGCATATGGTCACATGCACAATCCCAGAGGTTTTTCGGAGCTTACACATCCCATCCTCTAACTTTCTCTGAAGGTTCTGATCCTTCCCCTTCAACACATCATTGAGCCCAGCATGAATAATGACTAGATTTTCGCCCTCAATGCTGTTTTCTACAACCTCCTGAGCTTTGGCCAGTGGATCCACCATGCTCTTCCCTGACTGTGCCTCCACCCTGACTCTCCCATCTTCCTTCATTGTCTTGAAGACGCCATCCCTAACCCTGGCCACGTTAGAGTCCCCCACCACTAGGACCCTTCTACGCTCCAATCGCTGGCTTCCTGTTTGTGATGGCGCCCCTGTTTGCTTCACCTGTTTCTCTCTCTGCCGTCTGTCCTGCGTTTCTGCCCTGCTTGAAGACTGCTGCGCCACCGAGCTGTATGTTCTCGGAACCTCCGTACTGTGGCCAGACACTGCGGCCCCCTGACCTCCCTTCTCGCCTGTTCCTTCCCGCCTGTCGCCTTCTCCGCTACCCACGCCTTCCGTCTCACACCGCTTGTACCGAAGCGCTTGTAGCGACACACTGCGGCAGAGAGTTGAGCTAGAGAGCATAACTCCATCATCACGGTGGTGCGTTGTGTGCGTGGTTCTTGGCAAATCGGCTTCCAAACTTCAGTGGCAACACATCCCATTATTGTATGATGGCTCAGTCGTTGACGCTTTGGTGTTATGTTAAGAGAACTACCACAACATGTTCCCTTGCCCTCACGTGATTGTCCCAAATCACACTTTTTTCCTGAATGCCCCGCCGCGGTGGTCTAGTGGCTAAGGTACTCGGCTGCTGACCCGCAGGTTGCGGGATCGAATCCCGGCTGCGGCGGCTGCATTTCCGATGGAGGCGGAAATGTTGTAGGCCCGTGTGCTCAGATTTGGGTGCACGTTAAAGAACCCCAGGTGGTCGAAATTTCCGAAGCCCTCCCCTACGGCGTCTCTCAAATTGATATGGTGGTTTTGTGACGTTCAACCCCACATACAAATCAATCAATCAATAATTTGACGATCAGCAATGCTATTCCGAGAAATCAAAGGGTCCGTAGAGCTTTGTCTTACATGACGAAGGCGTCAAGTAGAACTTGAATGCTCTGGTTTATATCTTTCATCGTGTAATACTTGTCAAATAGTAGTTGGATAACGTGGCCTCTCCAAAGGGAGTTTGTATCTAAATGCAAAAGTTTCTTGGGACGAAATGCGAGCCGCGACGTAAGAGAGTACGCAGTCTTTGCTGCAGTAATAACATGACCTTGACGATAATGAAGTGAACAAGTATGTCTTACCAAATATTATAGAAAGAGTGCTGCAGCGCATCATCCACAATGGGAAAGAATCGAACTGCTCTCAGCACTGACTACTGATGACCTGCGTGAAGCGAAGATCGCCTAAAAAAGAAAAACTTTTTTTCGACAAACCTGTGGTGGCCTGGTGATACACAACGTATGCCGACTGATCGCACTCCAGTTCCTCGCCGTCTTCGTTCGACGTAGTGGTGCCTGGCACGTAAACACGACGCTCAGCCGCGCCGGCACCTGGGGCACCGACGTTGCCTCCGTCCGACATGTCGTCATCGTCCTCGACGTCCCCGTCCTCCATGTCTTCGAAGTCGGAGTCCGAGTTCGGTGCGTCGCCGGCCTCGTCTGCCATCGTTTGTGTTTAACAGCAGCTGCGTTTTGCTATGTTGCGTTCACGTTACCGGAGCTGTGCACACGGAAAGACAGCGGCGCACATGGGAATTGATCAATGGCGGCGCCCATGAAGTGATGCCACTGCCGATCCGAATAACGCCTGCGGTTAGAGGCGAAGTTGGCGAGGTCCAGAGTTAGTCAATAACTCTGGGCGAAATAATCAGTAATTGTGTAAATAATGACAGCCATTACGTCTGTTTTTACAAAAATAAAAGCATAGCCTTGGATATCGGTAATATGGAAAACGTTGGTAGGACGTTCAGGTGAATCAATCAAGTAGGTCACCGTCATTTCAGAAGCGTTATCGTAATTCCCATTCGATCGTTTAAAACCTGACACAGTAATGCTTTCCAGAACCGGCATAGTACAAATAAATGTCCTTTGTGACTCGTTTCACCATTGTGAAACAATTTTAGCAACAGCCAACAAGATGAATGAAATGTTGTAGCGTATAATGAGCGTATACTTATTCTCGGCATTTTTTTTCCGGCTACCCATCGGGGGATAAGAGCGCGTGAGAGATCGTCCAATCACCACGTCTCCCCTCTGTACGCGTGAGAGATCTGAGCCGCCGCGCGCGCATTGCGCCATTTTGTTGATAATGCTAAAAACACATTAACTCGCCCTCCCCTCCCTCTCCCTGCTAGCAGCGGTGAGTGGTAGATATAAATAGCTTGCCGTTCAAAGTTTGAGAAGTAGTTTATGGTGGTAGAGCAGTTAGCGCATCGTATTCGCGATGCGGACGGATGTCCCGCGTTCGAATCCACGCTTTCGTATGAATGTATCTTTTAATTTTTTTCATATATATATATATATATATATATATATATATATATATATATATATATATATATATATATATATATATATATATATATATATATATATATATATATATATATATATATATTATATATATAAAGTGGGAGTAATAATTCAATGGGCCAGTTAGTCTTCGTGAAGGTATGGGATATGGCACAACGGGAGCGTTGTGCCATATCCAATCAATATATTTATCCTTGTTGACAACGCTCCCGTTGTGCCATATCCCATACCTTCACGAAGACTAACTGGCCCATTGAATTATTACTCCCACTATATATATATATATATATATATATATATATATATATATATATATATATATATATATATATATATATATATATATATATATATATATATAACACAATTCTACCGCACTGAATTTATTTCCTTGAGTCCACGACACAGTGACTTGACTGATGTATTTATATAATTATGAAATAAACTTTGATAAACACTTAGTTATTTTATACACGTATAATAGGAGCCGTAGTTGAAGCAATGGCTTGGATTATGGATAACACCGCACCTTTCATCCATCTGGCCTGCTAACTCAGTCGGTTAGAGCGTCGTGCTAATAACGTGAAGGTCATAGGTTCGTTTCCTCCGCAGGCCATTTTTTTGCTTTATTCTGTTTTTCTTTTTAGATGCAAAGCATTTTTTAGCTAAGTTCGGCGACTTTTAGCTCTCCAGGTCCTTTCGATGATGAGATCGATACCGAAATTTATACAGCATAACATGACTGTATGACGAGCATGAGTGACTAGTCAAAACGTGAAAATCATAATATGTATGTCATGATTTACGTGCCATTGTCTTGCTGCTCTTGCGGTGGTTTCGTTCTCATGACATATTGCAAAACTGGTATGGTATGACATGACTGCATGGCGAACATGAGTGGGAGGCCCTAACGTGGAAATCATGGCATGCATGACGTCATGTAAGTCATGACTACAAGCCAGCTCATGATGCGCTCTCGGCCGTTTCGATAGCTTCACATATATCAAATTTGGTATCACGTAACTTGAATAAACGACGAAGCCAAATGCCCGTCCAAACATATGATAACCATGACATACGTACGTATTATGTAAAACATGACTATGGATATACATGCTACGCTCATAGCGCGCTCGCGGCCGTTTCGCTAGCTCCACTTTTACCAAATTCGGTTTTATGGGACGTGAATGAACGACGAAGGTAAATGGAACGTCCAAACATGATAATCATGACACGGAAGTCACATACGGCATAATTTACGTCCACCTCGTAGCGGTGCGCTCATTTCCAAGTGACATATCAACCCTCTTCATTCGTGCTTCGCATATCGTCGGTTCCCACAGTACCCGGGATCTGCCTTTTTTTTTAATGCCTGTTTCCTTGCGCAACATGCTCAAGCGTGCACCGAAGGACCAAACAAAGTTCATCCATACGCACGTGAATGACAAACACTGATTTCTTCTACTGAACTATATCGCAGTAGGTCATTAACTGATGAGACCATGTTGGGCCCTTGGCCAGGCACCAACAGTGCAACTGCGGTCACAAGAGCAGTTAAAACCTTTTTGGAAACAACTGGACAATGTGCGCGGCTATAAAATGTGTCTCAGCTAGAAAGAACACTACACACTCACCTCTCTATCTCACCATCGTCATCCCTTAATCTTTCTTTCCCCTTTCCTTTCCCCCAGTGTAGAGTAGCAGGCTAGAGCAAGCTATCGCTCAGGCCGACCTCTCTGCCTTTCTGGAAATAAACTTACCTCCTCCTCCCTCATCCATCTATCATTAACACTTCACTATCGCTTTATGGTACTTCACATCGCGTTATACCACTTCATTATCGCGTTAGGGTTTCTAAAATCTATACATTCATTGCTTTGTTGAAATCTGAGTGGTGCAACACAACTTGATGAGCAAGCGCGCCCATCCAGGCCACGAACTTGTTTGCTTACGCACGCGCAAAAAGAAGAGTATGGAAGCTCGCAATATGAAACAGAGAGCGTATGGGAAACGTTTAGGAGCGAATGGAATGGGGTGGGGGGTCAGTCAAGAACTTTAATATATGGTCCTGAGGAGTTTAAGCCACCAGGGTGCCCACGTGGGACATCCTAGCAGCCGCTACCGTAGGCGACGCCCGAGTCGGGGCGGGAACGTGGTGGCGTTCCGCCAGTTCTTGGGCCCTCTGGACTGCCTTAAGTTGGTTTCGGAGATTGGGGCTCCTGAGTGCCTCCTCCCAGTCGGACTCACTGGTGAGAGGTCCCTGAGGTAACGCGGGACATTGCCAGAGCATGTGCGCGAGTGAACAGTACACTTCTGTGCAATCTGGGCACTGTGAATTTATGTCTGAGTTATAATGGCTGAGTCGGCCCCGTGATGGGTACGATCTCGTTTGTAACATTCTAAAGGCTACTTCTTGCGCGCGTTCTAGTTTTGAATGGGGTAAAGGGTATCGGCTTCTGTTGTGTCGGTAGTGGGAGGTAATTTCATGGAAGGTGAGTAGTGGGTCATTAAACTGCACGTCTGGGCCCAGCTCTTCGGTGGCTGATTGATCGTCACGGCGGGTCAGTTCTCGTGCTCGATCATGAGCCATTTCGTTGAGGTTGGGTTGTTGTGGGTGAACGTCTTTGCCCATGTGGGCAGGGAACCAAGAGAGGTAGTGCGAGCCCGTATATTTCCGTGTTTGTAAAATGCGGGCTGCTTCTGGAGCGATGTTGCCGGTTTCGTAAGCCCGAATGGCGGCGCGAGAGTCTGTGAAGACATTAGTGAGTGAGGGGTCGGTCATCGCTAAAGCTATAGCAACTTGTTCGGCTATGGCGCTTGTTGATAGCCTAACCGAGGCGGCTGAGCGTAGGGCTCCATCGCCATCTACTACCGCGAGTGCGAAAGAGGAGGAGTTACCGTATTGCGCTGCGTCGACGAATGCGGTAGAGTTGCGATTCGCGGCGGTACGGTTTAGGATCGCGCGAGCGCGGGCCAGCCGTCTGCCTTCGTTGTGTTGTGGGTGGACATTTCGCGGAAATGGGGTTACCATGTAAGTAGCTCGGACAACTCTGGGGAGGGTTACTGCGCGTTCAAGGCAGGGGTGTGGGGACATGCCGGCCTCGCTTAGAAGTCGGCGGCCTGCCTTGGAGGAGGAGAGGCGGATCACTTGGGCCGTGGTCTGGGCCTCGATCACTTCATCGATGCCGTTGTGCATGCCTAGTTGGTCGAGACGGGAAGTGCTCGTGTTTTGAGGCAAACCAAGGACTTGTTTAATGCTTTTGCGCATGAGTGTGTTTAGTTTCGTCTTTTCTACCTTCGTCCAGTTGTGGGCAGAGGCGACGTAATTGATGTGACTCATTAGGAACGCGTGGTATATGCGCAGAAGGTTGGCCTCTCCAAGGCCTCGTCTACGACCCGAGACTCGCTGAATGAGTCGGAGCATGTTCTCTGTTTTTGCTGTGATATGTTTAATTGTTCTTGCATGACAGCCAGTGGCCTCGACGAGGAGGCCGAGAATGCGTATGGAGTCCACTCGGGGTATTCGCTGCCCATCTTTGGCGTGTAGCGCTATGGGTAGATCACTTAAGGGTGTTAAGTTACGAACGCCTTGGCGAGATTGCCGGTACAGTAGCAACTCTGATTTTGTGGGCGACAAACGAAGTCCAGTGTTTTTTAAGTAGGCTTCTGTGGTATCGAGAGCAGTTTGAAGGGCTTGCTCCAACTCCGCCAATGAGCCTCCCGGGCACCAGATGGTGATGTCATCTGCGTATATAGCATGGTTTATGTTTGGGATGTCGCGGAGTTTGTCAGATAGTCCCTTCATTACTATGTTAAAAAGGAGTGGAGAAATGACTGCCCCTTGTGGTGTCCCGTTGGAACCTAATGTGTAAGTATCGGATGTAAGTTGCGATAAATGCAGCTGAGCTGTTCGATTTTGCAGAAAAGAACGAATGTACGCCTGGAATCTTTTACCGAGACCAAGGCTGGCAATGGATTCCAGTATAAAGCGGTGTGAGACGCTGTCGAATGCTTTAGTGAGGTCTAGGGCGAGAATGCCACGAACATCTCTCGTTTTTGAGTCGAAGATCTGTTTCTTTAGTAATAGCATGACGTCTTGTGTTGAAAGGGTGGGGGGTTGAGTGATTTTAAATGAAAAGAAGATAAAAGTGAGCCCCGTAACTGTCTCTCAGGGGGAGGACACCTCAACAGTAGCTCACGAGGGATGGGGGTAGAGAAGGGATTAAAAGGATAGGATTAAAAGGTAAAGAGATCGAAAGAGAGAGGAAGGAGAGAGCGAGGCGCAGGGACAGAGAACGACGGAAATAACGAGAAGACAGGAAAGATGGACACGGTTGCAGGAGTCCGAGGACGGGGCACCACTGGCGAGAGCTCTTGTCGGCGTCAGGAGATGGCGTAGGGCAAGTCCAGTAGGTCAGCGCTACGCTGTCGTCGAAGATGGGCGTCAGGAGATGACGAAGAGCCAGCCCAGTCGGCCAGAGCTACGCTGACGTCGGAGATCGCGAGCGCACAACCAGTCGACACGAAATCCAGCGAGCGAGGAGCGAGCGAATGGACGGAGAGCCTTGGTTGGGTGGGGCCCTCATTCCAGGGCTCCATTGCCTTGCGCGACCCTGTGAGCCCGCTGGACCAGCTGCTGCTGTTTTTGCCGGCGTAAGCTGTGCAGTACAGACTCCCACGAGAAAAGGGTTGGGGCTGAGAGGAACACACCGTGGATCAGAGCATTTTTGCGTGGACCCCCGTATTCAGAAACGTTCCTTGACTTGAACTTGACTTGAAACCGCTTTCAATGCAGCGTGTTTGAAACACGTCTAGGTGTTTCTTGCGCTGCCTTGACACCGCCTAAAGAGAGCGCGTTCGAAACGCGTTTTTGCTGCATTTAAGTCGCTGACAAGTCAAGTAGCGTTTCTGAATAATGGGTTGAGATTCCCGCACTAAGCACGATGGTGCCATGAACTTTGAAGACGTCTACTGAGTCTCATGCAGCTTCTAATTGATAAAAAATAAGCACATTGCCATCTGTTTGTGAGCTTTAGCATACGATGTACCAGAAGATTTCATCTATCCAATCATGCGAAAATAGTATTTTTCATATTGTATGAAACTATGTGTTTTTTGTATATTCGTGCGCACGATGAGTTCGGCTCGAAGTTACAAAAAAAAATGGAACTTCAATATTGTTTTCTTTTTTTTTTTTCACGAGTAATGAACTTGTGACAATGTAGCACCAAAATTTTCATAGTGCAGTCTGTCAATCTAAATCAAGCCATTCTATTTATCTATAGGGTCCCCTTAAGAACTTCAAGTGTGGTTGTAGACGTCATATAGCCAGAGAGCATCACGATACAGCTTTGCGTGATTGAAACTTTCAAGTATACGTAGCTTCCGCACGTCACGACTGTCGGAGCCGTTATAACTTTAAAAGAAAGAAAGAAAAAGGTTAATCTCGCCGCTAAACTGAGTAGAAGAAAGTATGACGGCGTGGCAACGACCTTTCAAAGATGTAACAAATAAAGAAGCACATAAATGTCACTCATTCTAGACAGATTACGCGAGGCAAGCTAATTTCGTTAACGAATCTGCGAACTAAGACGAATCAGAACGCTAGTAGCATTAATTGGTGAACTAATTATAACTCCGGGCATTTCAGGTCCGGCACATTGGCACGATGATGCTTCCCAATGGGAGTTTCTTCATCCATGTCGACCAAATAGTGTTTATACGACGCGCATCTTTACGTAAGTGCACCATATTAGGTCCGTGTGTCGCCGTCGTCTAGAGAAGACCCAGTGTAAACCGAAACACATGTGAACAACAAAAATATTATCAGGAGACTGTTGGCCGGAACAAATAAAATAAAAGGCAACAACTTCATAAATGCTTCGACATTTAACTATCAATAAATCAAATCACGTGACAGAACAAAATGCTGACAAGAACAACTTAAAAAGCTGTTAACCAGAATGAAATAGTTGGCCACGATTCATGATCCGCTGACACTGTCCCATCGTCAGCGTACACTGTGTAAGTATACGTTTATTTTCAGCACACCTGTGACCTCGTCAAGTGCGAGGACCACGGGGCAACTTTATGCTCTCCCATAATAGGGTACTACGTACTCAAAAACGTTTACTTTATCTAAACACACATCACAGGTTTCACAGGCAGAGTATTCTGATTTATTCTGTTTGGGACGGCGTTATGCTCTCCCATACATAGTAAAGTACCGAGTACTCTAAATCGTTACACGCTTTTACTAAACACACAAACGCTTGTTCAACTTCCATGTGCTCTCCCATAGTAGAGTACCAAGTACTCTAAATTGTTAACCACTCTCTCTAAGCACATCCAAAATACGGCCACCATGACCGCGAATTGAGCCCACGCGTCCTCTAGCGGCCTGCTAAAGCTTTTTTTTTTTAATTTATTAGTGCATGAACCCGCCCTGCCGCGCCGGGTTCATGAACTAATAGAAGTACTTAGCCATGGAATGCATGAGCAACACATCACACTTTTTTAAGGAGTTCATTAACCACTTTTTCAAGAACTGATGATCGAATGACCTTAGTATCGGAGTTTATATTGCCTACCAAATCGACTGACGAGAAAATTTCGTTTGACTTCTTCAAGAACGACAGGAGTTACGGGGCTTGTCACGCGCTATTACACTAAACCAGCACCGGTCGGGTCAATCACTCCTCATGCATACGCTTGCCATCTGCCAGTCATGACTGGTACTCGGAGCACACGCTTGGTGTGACATACTGGACTATGACCATGCATACCGTGCTCATTGATAAGCCATTTAACGTATATAGTACGTACGTAGTGCCTTCGATTAGTTGTTCTACTTTTATTCTTAATTGTTCTTGCTTGTGTGTTTATCTTGTACATTACTGGTATGATGTTGGGATAACCGGCTCTACCTTCCCATACTCTGCCAAATATAAATAAATAGTGTGCTCCTGCTCTGGCTAGAGCAGCCAGAACAGGATCGCAACGCTACTGGGACACCGGCTGTACGCACGGACAATTAAGGCGCGCCTACAGGCACGGCTGGGTCGAGAGTCCCGCTTCTCGCTGCCAGCGGGCCTTTCTGGTGATGGTGCGCATTATGTTACATGGTCCCGTCAACCACATCGTTGTTGTGTTTAGGAGGAGTGGTTAACAATCTCGAGTACTTCGTACTCAACTATGGGATAGCAACTGTGTTTAGAAAACAATTTTTAACAATTTGAAGTGACACACAAAATCAACCGGACGATGGCAGTTCATCCGAGTCAAACCGGCCATGTGCACGGTTCTTGTTTACAACGTATCACGCTATTGATCCATGCCCCGTTTAATTTTACCTGGCTGTACAACTAACTCCTGTGATAATACGGGCTGCAACGAAAGCGGTCCGTTAGTGTAAACTGTGGCTGAGATAAATACCAAGCTATATGATTACCCTTGGCGCGTCCTTGTAAACTGTGGCTGAGGATAAGGACCGATTACGCTTGACACGTTCTTGCGGGAACCGCGCATGCAATCCACGCATTTCTCAAAAACGCAGTAAGTAGATCGAGTGTACAAAACGAAATAGAAAAGTATCAGATAAGATCAGCAACGCATTACTTTGATTTTCTGACTAACTCAAGCGTCGCGATTTTTTCCTGAGTGCACAGTACAAAGCGGATGAAAAGCTTGAGTTGATTCGCAGCGCATTAATGGCAGGCTCTCTGAACCAACGAACGCTCTACAATCTTTCATCACTGCGGGTACATACCGTCAAATGGCGCTGATAACGGCCCAATATGGTGGCAGCCGTGAGTCGAAAATGATACCGTTGCCGGTAGCCTATCCCCGACGCTTGATTAGGAAAGATAACTGCGAAAGCGTGCGGTACACAAAAGAGACAACGCGAAGCAGTCGTCTTTCTAGACGCAGAAAGACACAGCCGTATCGCGTTGTGTCTTGTTCCATGTGGTCAACTTTTCTAATTATGAATCACCAACTGGCCTATACATGCACACTCTTCTGAGTTACACTGATCTAAGGCAACAGAATCGAAAGTTGGGCTAGTTGGATATGCATGGCATAACTGTCCGTTGATCTGATGATCCACGCGATTCGAGTTTACACGATGGGCTCATGAAGAAGGCCGAGAAGAGTTCGTTCCAGCCTCGGGCAAGCTTTTCGTGGTGGCGGGTCCCCGGGAGGTCGTCACCCGAGCGCCAACACTTCGTGCCGTCACGGAGCGAGTGTTCCGTATATTCGGTGTCGTATGGACGTGTCTTCGTTCTTGTGGTTTGCGACCGAGCATCTCAGCCACGGACTTCCAAGCCGACGACCGCGTTGCGGCGTCGTACACCTGCACGACCATGACTGAGCCGTTGATCACCGACGGCCACCTTTTGTAGTCAAACGAGTAGAGTGCGTTGAGGGACTCGTGTTCCACGCCTGCCACGGCCGCCAGCTCTCCCGTGACGTAGGCGTCGTCGACGGGTAGGTACGGCACTGAGAAAGTCGCATTGTACAGGGGCGCCAACGTGGTCGCGTCCATGAAGACCGCGCTGCCCGAGCAGTACCTGGGAAAGACGTTCTTTGGGTAAGCCTTCTCGGATATGTACCACGGCAGAGCCGTCTGCCTAATGACAGGCATGTAGTCCCAGACGCAGCAGTACAACTTGGGACGTGTGACCAGAGCAAGACGTGTCTGGGGCGGTCGATCGCCCCCGGCTAGCCTCGCCATGAGCGACGGAAGGTGCACCACGATGTCGTCGTCAATCTTGAGGACGTAGCGCACCCGCGGACAGTTCTCCAGGGTCCACTTTATGCCGTACACGTACTTGTACGTCAGGTTGCGGTACGTGTCCATGTACGGCAGCACCACGACGTCGCCGTATGCCTCAGCCTCGTAGGCCACGCTATGGGTGACCTTTTCGACGGACGACATGCCCACGAAGAACACGGTTGTCCACTTGTACCGGACTCCGTACGTCGAGTTTCCGACGACCTCCCTCAGGACCCGCCGGTGGTCCGAGTGCGTCGCGGCCGTGTGAACGAAGAAGAGGTAGTCCACACCACGCCGGCAGTCGTACACGGCCTTGTAGGCTGTGGGTAAGACGTATACGCTCTCCAGGGGGAACGGTACCCTGCCGAAGCCTCGGTACAGCGTGTTGTGAGGCATCCACATATGCCCGATGACGTCGATGCTCACGGCTGTTCTCAGTGCTCCCCTCGGTGCCACTTTCGTTGGCGTCACTGCTGCCCTCACGGCTCTGGTTGCCGCAACTGTTGATGACTTCACACCTTCTGCCACTGATGGTTCTGACGTCAACGCAACTGGAGGAGTTGTCGTCGCGCTTGCTGCTGGTGTTGTCCTCGTTGTGGGCCGTACCTTCTTCCACACTTTTTCATATTTCTTTCCCGTGGCCGCGCTGGAAGTGCCGGCTACCTCATTAGTTTGCGAACCTTTTGGATTCAGACTTTGTGGCGCACTTTGACGACTGCCCTGTTCATTGCCGTAGGAGCTCTCGGCGATGGTGGCACCGCCTCGTACCGCGAAGGGCAATGACGGTGGCGTGACGACCGAATCGGAGCTCAGGGCCATGAGGATGAGGCAGAAGACCATGACCAGGCTGAGGATTAGTAGCCATCGCTTGGCGGGTGATGCGAGTAAGCTGGCCAGGCAAGCGTCTGCAAAGAAACAGACAAGTGGGAAGAGCGAATTAATCAGTGCGGCATAAGTCACTATAAGTCACTATGTGACCGGAGTGCTTTTACAGGAACGAAATGAAATGCTTGCAACTACCTCACACAACTACAACGACTACAACAACAACGACAACAACAACAACGACGACGACAGCAACGACGACGACGATGATGATGATGATATCTGGATCACATGGTTATGAGAGAAGTTTGTAGTGGAGGGCTCCAGAAATTTCGACCATCTGATGTTGTTTGACGCGTTCTGACATCGCACGTTACAAGGGCCACTTGCACTTCGCTTTCCTCGAAATGCGACCACCACGCGGCCGCGATCGATCCCCCAACTTTCGGGTCGGCAAACGAGCACCATAATCGAGCACCATTGTTTCTCCGCAACGAACGGAACACCTCACGTCAGGCTGTCTGCCTCGCACTTAATTTAGGCCTTCCCAATTGAAACGATCCGTATGCGACGTCCAATAATTCCGTATGTTTCCGTACGAATACGTATGTTTCCTATATATTTTCCATATATTTCCGCAAGATTCCTACGGATACATACGGAATTATTGGACATCGCATACGGATCGTTTCAATAGCGTTGGTAAGCTATCGAACCACATCAGTCAATTACGCACACATAATATGTGTAAACATCGTACAAACATGATTGATTTGATTGATATATATGTGGGGCTTAACGTCCCGAAACCACCACACGATTATGAGAGACGCCGCAGTGGAGGGCTCCGGAAATTTCGACCACCTGGGGTTTTCTAACGGGCACCCAAATCCGAGCACACGGGCCTACAACATTTCCGCCTCCATCGGAAATGGAGCCGCCGCAGCCGGGATTCGATCCCGCGACCTGCGGGTCGGCAGCCGAGTACCTTAGCCACTGGACCACCCCGGCGGGGCAAGAACCACATATCAGTAAATTACGCACAGATATTATGTGTAAACATTGTAAAACAGCATGGAACTTAATTAATGGTACTCATTTTGATCAGTATCTAAAAAAAGGGGACACACACACAAGAGAGGACACGCAGACAGAACGGACGTCAGACATCAGCTTATACTTTACCTACATCAGAAAAAAACGTCGCTCGATCGGTGTCTCAAAATACTCGACGGAAAAATGCAATCACGCGAGCTGAGAACCCATGAATGTTCATTTATAAATTTATTATAGTGGTATGATTTCAAATAAAACCTAAACTTAAGAAAACAAAATGGCCACCGTATAGCGAAATGTGCGTTCCTCCTTTTTTTTTCTGGATCTACGCCAGTGGTTGTGGGTATACGGACACACAGAGAAGGTAATTTCTCCTTTTCTCCATCTTATTTCATTCCCACCCTCCCCCCTCAAGGATGCTGAGCCAAGCCGCGCTCTCGTATGAGTCACTAACCTCAAACCACTATCTCTGCTTGGTCACCTTCCGCGTGGGTGGCCCTCTCAGTTCATGGGGATCGCGCGATCTATAGTCACTCCCCCTCCCCCTCTCCTTGTGGTCACCGGTTATAAGAATCGGAGCTGCAGGTGAGCTCAAGTCTTCCGAAATAGAACAGAGTGAAAGCAAAACAATAAGTGCCAAAGCCATCAAGCACCTCGGTGCATGCAAAGGTTAGCGACAGGTACTTTTTTTTTCGCCATAGGTACACAATGTTTCCAAAGCACTTGTCTCATCTAAAGCTTTAATTTACGTGGGCGATACAGCCACAATATTCGCATGAGATGATCTGTCAACACTGCAAGACAACACAATGCCCGGATTCACAGACATAAGCAGCAGGTCCATTTAAAACAAACTGGCACTACGTTCTACAGAAACGAGGTGTGCTGCTTTTCATTCAAAAAGAAAGGAAACAATGCCATACTGCAGTACTGAAAGTTTACTTGGAGAATGGTATAATTGAGCGAATAGCTTTTTTTTTCCTTCTAAAAACTAGGTCAAGGCTTTGACTATAGTGACTTGAATAAGAAGAACAAATCGTCAACATTTGCAGAAAAGTGGCAAATCGTTGCTATAACCCAATCAAAGAGCAGGGACGCTTTTTACCCTCATGCACTTCGGACACCTTGCTTTTCTTTTTGTTATTCTCCTATAATTTACTGTATACGATCGGCGGAAGTGTAACGTATACAGCCTACCTTGAACCACTTCTACGACGGCAAAGAAAAAAAGAAGAGCAGCGAACAAAATGGGTCGGCACTCCTATAATCCTATACCTCAGGAATAGCGTACAGTATCAGTATCGGGCACTGCTTCGTGACTACAACGTTGCCCATTTACGCGCGCCCTATGAGCGCACAGGGCTAACCTTCGGGGCGGGGGGACTGAGGGGGAGGTTCCTGTGCATCATGGTCCCACCTGCCAATTATGCCAATGTACGGGGCTGACTGCACCCCCAGCCCACTCTCCTGCACCCCTCGTGCGTAAACGCCCATGGTAGAGACAACGATGCCATATCGGATGCATGACCAAACAGCGAAAGCCTGAACCGATAACTGTAGTTCGCAGCCAACCAAGTTCGAACGAAAGACATACGTGACCGGGCGCTGCACGGTGCGTAAAGGCCGGCGCTGAAGCGATCCTCGGAACTGACGAGTAGGGTGGGCTCCACGACGACTACAGAAAAGTTTGCATGTCCAGACGCCCCGCCCGCTGCGCTGCGTCGCGGGAGCTGGCCAGAGTGGACGTGTCCTCCGGAGCCGAGCATGATACTGTGGAAGTGTACGGTCGGGTCGGCTTTTTTATACGCTTCTCTGCAGGCGCCAGTCTCAACTTCCACGCGCGACGTCGTTTCGATGAATCCTCGGTGCGGTCACGTTCGCACTGGTCGGCGTCCTGGTTCACGCTTCGCTTTGGGTCACCTTCACTGGCGAACAATCAACTCGCGGCACAATAACTCCGGCGTAACGCGCAGCTCGGATGCAACGTCCCGTGGTCTAGTCTCAGCCGACTGTCACCTGCACCGCGAGCAGTACAAGTACACGCAAAACGAAAGCGTGTGATCTAACGCGTCGCTCGGATGCTACGTCCTCTGGTTCGCATTCTCCAGGCGGTCTCCTTTCCGGGCGGACAGCGATAGGATTACACAATGCGCGATCGAGCCACTGTATTTCGTATGCGGTCCGGCTCCTGGTATGGGGTGTAGAGGTATATTCGGCGGCTAACGACAATACAGACTCAGTGGTTCACGCACGCTCACTCGGCAAGACATTCTGAAGAAAAAAAAATTATAGGCGCGTTTTGCTTTGATGCTAGTGTAAAAAATATAATTTTGGAAAAGCGAAACATCTGTGGTAAGACGTTTCAGCTCCGCCTTGGGATGGGTGAAGCGTGCAGTGTTTTGAGAGAGATTTCTTTGATGAGGCACTACTATAGGTACAGGCTACTCTATTTACAGGCATTACTATAGGTACAGGCTACTATAGGTACAAGTACCACTATAAGTACAGGCTACAATATGTACAGGCACTACTATAGGTACAGGCACAACTATAGGTACAGGCTACTATAGGTACAAGTACCATTATAAGTACAGGCTACAATATGTACAGGCACTACTATAGGTACAGGCACAACTATAGGTACATGCACTTATACTATAGGCACAGGCACTGCTATAGGTATTGGCACTAGTATAGGTACAACGACTACTATAGGTACAAGCTTGAAACCGGACATGTAGGGAAAGCTGTTTTTCGCTCCACTATTGCGTCGTCGCAAAACTGCTTCGGAATACAGGTTACCCTAACATCACTCCTTCTTCTTCTTCAGGCTACGGCATGCAGAGAAGCATGTTGCACTGGTGTCGTCGGCTATTTGTTGGGCCAACTTTTGCGGTCTCCATTTTTAGTAAACCGGTGGCGAGTCGTGGGATTTACCCGATCCTTGTGGTACAGTGCGCGTTCGTGAAGGACCGCGACTACATGACAGATCGCGACAACGTAAGACGCCGACAAGCCGAGAGCCTATGAGGGCCGTTACGCTCAACTCTTTCGAGCGCCCGGGTGGTAAACCCAGGTATAACCACCTTTTCTTCGCTTCTTTTTTTTCTCTTGCAACACGTGAGTCCCGCGGATTGGATTTTGAATGGCGCATATTTGAAAGCTTTCGGCAATCTGACAGTAATGATGCTACTTCGATTGGGCTTCAATATGACAGGCTAAGTTTGCTTTCTTTCGGTTGCCATCATCCTCGAGGCGCGTTAGACGGTGAACCCGAGATATATTTATAGACATATAAGAATATGCTGTTCCTGTTATGTTGATAGTACAGGAGATCACGTTGTATGAGTTGCTAACGCTAAAGAATATAGCGACGAGCAGCTGTACTTTAACTCAAAGTGACCAGTGGGCCTTTACTGTATGCATGTTCCCCTCAGGTGAACACCTCATATCTTTTGAACTAAATGTGGCGCATTTCTTTGTTTATGTTGCGAGAAAATCATTTTCTGCAAAAGACATCGATATTTTTAAATGAAGATGTTTATCGCCAAAAATGGAGTCCTGTGCATGAAACAGTTAAAATACAAGCGCAAATAGAAAAAGGCGATCACCTTCCTGAGCGAACCGTTTAAGAATTACACTTGACAAGAGCCACAGTGTAGTTCTTGCGCGGTTCCGGGGCCACGTTAAGACTTAGAGGTGTATCATATTCCCTGCAGCCAACCTTAACACACACAAATTGGTGCACGTACACGTTCACGGCACAGCATCCCGACAAAAAAAATCACGGCTCTACCAATTCCTTGAACAACTTCTTGTTGTCTTTAGCCACTGCAGAATTGACTAGTTTACCTGACTTTGGGGTAATTTAACGTGACCGTATAAAATTTCGAAACGAACTAACAAATTTATTAGGTGCTGATGCGTATAGTATTACGAGTCTCCCTTTTTTCCATTTGTCGTTTTCTTGTGTATTTTGATTGTCTTCTAATTTCACCTCGTCTATTTACAAATGTTACTTTTA